CATTCTCCTTCAAAGACACCTTATCGGCCAGAACAATCATGATGATATTGTTCAGACCTGCAGAGCCTATACCCTGCAAAGCCCTACCGAGCAGCAGCATACCCCATGTCTGCGCAGCTGCACACAAGACACTTCCAATAAGCATGAGAGACAATGCCGTCTGTAGTATAATGTGACGCCCGAAAACATCGGCAAGCTGACCGAATATGGGAATGAAGGTGGTCGATGTGAGACTAAAGGCGGTAATGATCCAGTTCAGCTCGTCGAATTGGTCTAGATACAACGATAGGGGTCAGCAAGAAACAGTTAAACACAAGAATCTGACTCACTAAAGTGAGATGCAATAGTCGAGGTCGCAGTAGCAACAATGGTCAAGTCCAGTGTGGAGAGAGTAAACGGCAGGGTGAGGCCAGCAATGAGTTTGACGCGATACACTCGCGCATTATGCTTTTGCTCCTTGCACAGGCTGCATTTCTCGGTGTCTGTAGCAGGACTCAATTCTTTGGTGGAGCCAGACCTAAGCCTTTCTAAAGGCTCAGAGTCTTCGCCGTTCCTCGATTCTAGTTGGTACCATTGCGAGCGATGTGCACAAAGTGGCTTTGGTGTGGGAGACTTGGAGTCTTTCGTCTTCTGCGATAGGTACTTGTAAGCTTTGATCATATCGGTAGCCCGTCAGTCTGGAAGTAGATTCAACAGAATATAGTATGATGATGAGAGATGTCTGATATAGAAAAGGCTGCACGGGCTGCTGGTAGAATCAAGGGACTATAGGATGCCATTGTGTAGCTATATATGAAGAATCCAACTTGGCCTCGTATGCCGACTCGGATGCAACTGAGGCTGTGTGGTCTAGACAATATATCTCCTTCGAGTCATCAGTGCGAGGCACAAAGGATGTCAACTTGACTGATGTCAAGAGCATCCCAGTCAAATGTAGGGCCGTTTCGAGCAAGTAATGCGTGCCCGTCTGATTGGCCGGAATGGTACTATGCGCAAGCCCTACCGAATGCGGTAAGGATTGCGAGGAGTCAGCCAACACAGCCTCTTAACTAACGTTATATTGTAACACTATGAATCTTGAGCTCAACAAATATCTTCTAGGAATCTATTCTATAGGACGTGGTTCGCACAGCATGAACGCATTAAACAATATATGTACGTCTTGAACGAGTCTATCTATATACACATAGCGAGACATCAGGGGTATAGCTTCAATCGACAGTAAATAAAATCGTAAATCCGACTCGCTCCAAAGCAAAACCCCAGGTAAGAAAAAACCATGAAATATAATCATCTCGAAGCTCCAGCCAGGGAGGATCGTTCATCTTCTATACCGATCGCGGATCGACTCATGCGCTTGGCTCCTCAATAGGCTCTTCCGGAGGCGAGTTGGCCAAGGCACTCTCGAGCGCACTCGTCAAGTCAATGTGGAAGAATGGCCGGTTGATGCCCTGCACCACCGCCGCCTTGCGTCGATTGCGGTATGCCTTACTGTCCTTGAGATCGCGCGCCAGCTTGTCGTCCGGCGTGCTGCTGTTGTCGGACGACGCTTCAATATCAATTCCGGACGCCTCGCGCTCGGTCATGTGGGTTTCATGTTTGAGTCCCTCCTCGAGGTCACGCTTGACGGCGTTCTGGTGGGCATGCTCATTGTTAACCATCTCCGCATGAGCCGCAGCAGACGCCCGTCCTTCGATCTCAGCCACACTGAAAATCGGCTTCCACCGGTGGAACCCGTCATCAGAAGCAGGAGTCGGGTAACCGAACCCTGCGGCTGCCAGTGCTCGTTTCGTCCAGCGGTTGTTAATATGAGCGAAGTGCCACTGCACAGTGCGAGGAGAGGCATAGAGATCGAGCTGGTTGCGAACATCGATCAGGTTTTGGATGGAAGTCACATCAACATTATTAACCGACGAGAAATCGAGGATGATGGAGCGGAGGATGGGCCGTTGCGAGCGGCTCTCTTCCTTGCCCTTGCGAGAGCCGGGGTCGTTCCAAGGCCGATCACCGGGACGAGCGTAAGAGAACGGGTTGGTGCGACGCGTCTGGCGGAAGATTGCCTGAACCAGGTAGTCGGTGTAGTGGTTTGCGTTGGGGTAGTTAAAGCCCTCAGAGAAACGGTAAATGAAGATACCGGGGTATGGTTGTTCCACCTCAACCTCGGGGTTTGAGCCATCGGTATGGTTAAGAGGAAGGAAGATAGACCGACGGGATTCGCCCTCATTGTCGGGGGCATCGGGGAAACCACCAGGTCCATACTTGCCATCTCCTTGGATCAGATGATCGCCAACAACGGAGTGAATGGTAACGCGGCCCAGGAACTGACCGCGGGCCTTGGCAACGCGGAAAAGCAGGACAGCCACGGACACGCAGATAGTGCAGTAGATACCATCCTCGATCGAGGTGAAGACAGTTACGATGACACCGATGAAGAAGATGATTGCATCAAGGGGTGAGACGCGCCAGAATTGGTACACAGTGTTTGGGGGCGTGATTAAATCCCCGACAGCGTGGATGATAACACCGGAAAGGGCGGCTTGGGGGATATAAAAGAAGACGGCGGTCAGGGCGTAGATGGCGAGCAACACAACAATGGCGGTGATACAGCCGGCCAAGGGAGTCCGAACACCTGCCTTCGACTTGATGGCAGTCCGGGAAAAGGATCCGGTGGCAGGGTACGCGCCCAGAAAAGGGCCGAGAAGGTTGGTCACACCAATTCCGACCAATTCTTGGGACGGCTCGATGGTATAGTTGTTGACACGGCCAAAGGACTTGGAGATTGCGATATGCTCGATAAGGAGGACGATAACGCAGGCAGGGAGCTGACTGGCAAAGACCTTGATGATCCTAGCGTTGACAACAGGGACAGCCGCATCTCGGAAACCTGAAGGACACACATGTAAAGTTAGTTGACTACCCTCAAAAAATAGATATATCAAATATCATCAAACGCACCTCTTGGTACACTGCCCAGAAGATCAAACATCGGGTTATCCTTGCGGTGAAGGTTGACTGCCGCACTGATCATGGTGTAGAATAGGATGACAAAGACAGTGCGCAGAGTCGACGCGAAGAACCACACTTTAGCCTGGCGAGGGTACTTGCGAGCACCATAGTTGCAAACCGAACGGATAATGTACAGCATGGCCAAGGCTGTCACACCAAGGGCAGCATCAATACCCGCAGTAGGAAGATACTTCAACGAGTTGATAATGACCATGTAGGTTGAGCCTCTGGTGGAGAAGTCGGCCGATTCTCCAAGGAGCTTCTTGACTTGACCGGCAGCGATATTGAGAGCGGATCCCGTCATGAATGCCGAAATTGCAGGAAGGGGAATGAAGTCAACGATGAAGCCGAGCCGAAGAAGACCGAGGGCACAGACGATGGCACCGCAGATGATAGCCAGGCAAGACGCCACGATATGTCCTGGAACATCCGGGATCTCTTGCTCAGCCTGGAGCACAATCGTTCCGACCAGCGTGGACATTACAGCAACAGGCTAGACGGGAAGTTAGAAGGCATGGCTCGATAGCGGCAAATATTGGAAGAGGGCACCTACCCCGATAGTGATATCCTTGGATGTGGCAAAAAACCAATAAACCAGTACACCCATGAACGATGAGTAGAGACCATACTGCACTGGTAGTTCGGCGAGTTTGGCATAGGCCATTCCTTGAGGGACAACAACAGCACCGACAGTTACACCTGATGAGTTAAGTAAGACACATTGGCCACACATATGTACAGCATCAGGACCCGATGTGGCGACTTACCGGCGACGAGATCACCGAAGAACCATTGCAGGTTATACTTCGTGATCCAAGAAAGGAAGGGGAACAAGTTGTAAAAGTACATAAGGACATCATGCCAGGTTGGACAGATCTCTTTAAGCCATTCGGCAGTGGTAGGTTCCGGTTCAAGATAAGAGTATGTCTCAACGGTGCCGTATGAAAAGGTCGATTCGCCGCGAGTAACGGGGTCGGAGTGAGCTCCAAGGGGATCCCGATAAGGCAATTTGATACCCAGAACTTTGGCCAGGCCGTGGCCAGTCTTGGTCATGAGGTCTTGCGACATGGTTGTCGGGGAGGCCTCTGATGGTAGGAAAGGACTGTTTCTAGGGCAAGATGGTGCCCCGAGCCACTTGGAAAGTGGAAATTTGGCGTTGACGAACGGAGCTGCTCAACAACAATTCTCGAGTGATGGGAAAAGAGAATTGCAGTCCTCCAAGGTAATATATCTTCCAGGGGTGTATTTAGGCAAGCCCCATGGCAAGGTTGATGGCAAACGATATAAAAGTGGAGGCGGGAGGATAGTGCGGATTTAAAATGAATATCCGAAGCCAAGCGCCGATGTCGTGATCGGGAGCTATGAACGCGAAATATCAAAATGCCCACTCGACCCTCTTTTCAACGTCAGGATCCAGGCTACACGAGCAAGTTGAACTCAAAAGATCTATCAGATAAAAATGATAAAAGGTAGATGAGAGAACAAAAGTCCAAGAAAAGCACACGCGGCTTTTTGTGTTTCGCTAGGAGATAATGTAGATGTGGCGCACGGGGAAAATTGTGGTCGAGCGGAAGATGAGACCAGCAGATCCGTCCCACGCAAGTGTTTCAACAACACAAATAGCCACAGAAGCAAAAATGGGAAGAAGGAAAATAATGAACAAGTAGTGAAAGTAGTTCGAGGGAAGTCAGTCCAGAGAGTTTTAAGGTGATTAGTCTTGTCAGAAGAAGTTAAGGTGACACGGGTCTCCGTGGGGAGAGCGGACGTCGCAACGGGAGTTGATGCAAGCCGATCAATGTGTATTCTTGCGCCAAAATGGCATTGACAACGACGACCATGGTACGACTATTATCAACCGGGAAGGGAGCATCAGCAAGAAACGCGCAGTGATGGGGCAGCTGATCCACCAGGGATCGTCAAGGGCAAAAAGCACGCCGTCTGGAATTTTCACAAGCCCGTCGTCAACACGCAGCTAAGAAAAAATTCCCTAGCCTGCAGGGAGGGCCAAGCTCGTCAGAGAAAGCTGGCGTAAGAGCGCCGTTTAGGTGGGTTTGGCCGGGGTCTGGAAGCGAAAGATGACGATGAGCCGTGGAGCAGGTGCCCGCCCACCGGCTGGGCCCATGGTTTGCGATTTGCATGGGAAGGAGGGAGTAGTGTATCAAGTGTGTAGTTGAGCATCCAGGACAGGATTAACCTCCGGCCAACCACTGAACGGGATTCAAAACCCTGATGATAATATGGTTCACTACTCAAAAGAGCCGAACAGAATGGAGTTCATTCTCGGTAGTCGTAACCCACCATGACGATTGCAAGAGGAAATGTTCCTCTTCGTGATGGATCCAGCATTTGTCCGACGTTCGCAGAGGGGGAGGAGCCAAAAGGGAAAGTAAGTTGAGTGGACTCCATCCGCCATATTGCCAAGGCACACCGCCAACCGGAAACGGGTCAGGACCAGGGTGGACCAATGAGAATGGTCCCTGGCTACTGGGGAGCAGCATCCGCGGCGGGCAGGCGGCGGCCAATGGGAATAGTGCGAGAACACGCCATCGCTCCGACTGATGGTGAAAGATGGCCGCGCGGTTTCGTCCAAGTATCGGCTGGGCCGTTCTGTGCTCTTCCTACCCCCCTTGTTGAGAAGATGGAAGTTCTCCGTAACTACGAGGTCCCTGGTACCTTCCCCCTGCTTTTCCCTACTGTTTGCCTCCTGGACTGACTTGCCACCAATACTAATCTCCCTTTCTTTCCCACTTTATCTACTTAGTACTCTATCTCCGATGCCCGGATGACGAGTACACATCTCGTATCGGCCTGGACTGCCAGAATCGGTTTCTACCTGAGGAGCTACTCTGCAGGTCTGGAAAAAAATTTATTTCGGGGTCATTGAACAATCTGCTGTGTTCTTATTGTAATCTGGCATAAATTAAAGTCGATTTCCACATGTGCATGGCAACAATATATCTGGGTGTCACGAACATACTGCTAAGCAAGCGGCAGTAATACAAGCGGACGGGACGGTCTTGACTACGTACCACCGTTTATTTCCTCTGTAACTGTGGATGCAACAGATTTGTAAGACCAAGATTGCCTTTCAGCTTTTCCAACGAGACTTTGCCGATGTGGCTTGGCACCGTCAGTAGTCATGGAACTGCTGGAAAACAAACTTCTTTTGCCATCAGATAAACATGGAAGCCCGACAAGACAGCTTCCCTGCTACTTGCTGATCTACAATCCCATAGTCCATCTAGCACGGCTCACCCAACCCCAAATGGAAAGAGATATTCTGTTCTCTCTAACAGGTCATGTTGACGGCGGCTTCAGGCCGTAAGCACCACCGCTTCTAAACCTTGTTGATTTTCTCCATTCCATTACCAACTGCATTGGCTCAACAACTACTTACTAGTATCCAACCCAACGCTGCATCTATAAATTTTTATGCGACCAGGATGTCTCCTCGGAGCAGCCACTACCTTCCATCCAATCAGACAGACCGTGCTGACCAGGGAGTGTCTCAGAAGGATTGCCCGGCGTAGCCGGTGCATATGTACCTAAAAAATAGTTGCGAGCTAAGCAGGTTCCCCAGAATTGCGCCATCGATCTTATCACTGCGTGATGCGGCTGTCCAGGGACATCATTGGAAGATTAATTCGATGTGGTTTGATGTATGCCTACAGAGTATAGACATCGAACGATTCGGTGAGCAGCACGACCTTCGGCCCGACCGTGTCCAAAATGAATGAGCCACTTTTGTAGATTAATCTCTCATTCTTCTGACTAACAGCGGGTTTTTCTTCCGCAATAGTTGCCTTGTTCGCTTGGCTGCGCGGAGATACCACACCTTTTTCCGTCCATCTCTACTAGTCAACTACACCCCTGCAGCTGCGGCATCCCCGTGGTATGGACAATCATCCATCGAACAATGAGTCCCCAAGCCATCACATTCCTACCCTGATCTTATTCCGATGCTTCCTTTCCTCGCAGACCTATCAGCGCGAGGACATGTCAGACAAAACCCCGCCGCAAATCCTATCTACCAAAACACTAATATATTCGACGTTCTCGTGGCCGAACTTGATCAACAAGAAGTCCGGTCTGCTGACAAGAACTATACAGCACATGCGGACATTAGAGCCTCCTCTATCTAGCATGAATGCGTTCATCGTACATCAAATTCATCCAGTCGCCTCTTAAGAACACCCATAGAAGAAGCTAAGCGAGACATACGGTTCTGGCACAGACCCAGACTAACTGCCAACAACAATGATCTGCAAACCTTGATATCTATCCATCAAAGTCATCCATCTAAAGTTCAATAAATGTCTTATGTGACAGCCGCCAGTCAACCTTACCTCAACAAAGTTGCCATAACCCCACTACCATGGGTTCAATAGCTTAACGTGCTTGAACTGTCCGTGTGACATTATACTGCATTCATCTGAATCAGTTCTAACATATCTATCTAAGAGTCTGGCATCTCACTGCAGAGAAGGTCACGAGATACAAGCGACCTGCAAGTGCTTTGTTGTCCGAGTCCTTGCAGAGCACATGACCGAGCTTGGGTGTGCCCCTCCAACGGAATATACTAACATTACGTTCGAGTTAATCTGGCATCCCACAAGTCATTGAACAAGCAACCCGCTAATATACGATACTAATCGACGTCATCTACGTATAGCTTCTCACTTGGGTGATCTTTTCTCTCATCATCTGCTCAACAATGAACATGTGCTCAGAAATAAGCAATTACAGATGAAATGGGGTGCACAGCTTATGCTTTTCACAACTTCATCCTGCACCCGAAGGATGCTGGAGGGTTACAGTGCAGATTGCCATGCTGTGAGAGGCTCTAGCAACATCATCTGCCGTATGATGCAGCCCGGTTCTGAATCTCTGACTCTTGACTCTTCGTAGAGTACCTCAGCACATCTATCTCATTATGCTAGTCATATGGCGTAGGGGGGAAGAGGAAGAGCTCGCTTAGTTAGATATACTTTTGAAATGAACCTCACGGGATCCAACATTGAGAAGAATGTTCTAATGCACGAAGAATCAATCATTAAGTTGAGTATAATGAATGATGTAGTGCTCAATGACGCCATGACAAAGGTGAACATCGAAGCATTAGGAATGATGCTAGAGTGAGCGTCCATGATATACAACACATAGTACCTAATATCTCTATCTGTTCTGTGGTGCTACTGTAGAACTGATAACTCATTTCTCTACGAATCACTGCTTCATTGTATAGTAGAAAATGGAACGATAGCAAGTAAAATGCATAGACCGCTAGCAAAAGCATTTCAAGAACTCGTTGACGGTTGACAGGTATATACATTCCTCGCGACGAGTATACTATTATCTATTCGCAAAAGACCAAACTTTTCTTCCTCTATCTCCCCCTTTCACTCATCTTCACCCTTCCTCTTCCGAAGATGTCCCAATCCATATAGCGAGTCGTTCAGTTCCTTCCGTTGCTTCTCCTCCGTGGTGGCTGGGACTTCTTCCGTACCGGTGGAGTTGATCTTATCGGTCACAGACGCCGCGGTCGGCTCCCATTCCAAGCTGTCGTTGCCGCTCTTGACGTGGAATGCTTCAACCAGGGTGGAGGGGGAGGCGGGGCTGGCTCTCCATTCTTGAGTGGAGTCAGACTGGCGGATAGAGTCGACGGAGACAAGGATAGTGTTGTCTTTCTCGACGGGGGTGAGGTCGAGGACGTTGCCGGAGAGTTGGATGGAGGCTTGTGTTTTCAGGGTGCCGTCGGATTCCAGCGTGAAGCATTGCAGACGGGATGATCTACTCCGGTTAGAATATGTACTCGGTAGTGATTATATAGGAGGTGTAAAGAAAACTCACCCGTGAAGTGCGACAAGGATGATACGCAGGTCTCCAAGGGTTGTCGCCCAGATACCCTGCACTGCAACCTCTGTAGCTTCCGATGCCTCGTCTACTAGGGAAACCTTCTGGAGAATACGGCCTTCAGCCCAGTTCCAAACGAGCAGGTAGTTGTCGCCTCCGCCAGAAACGAGATACTGGGGTGCCCACTGAGGCACACAAAGCTTGCTGATGAATGAAGTATGGCCCAAGCAGTAGTTTTCAATGACATGGGCTTGAGGAGGACCACGGGAGACACGGATATGTTCATCTCGGTCGGCGGTCAGGATGTAGCTGCGCTTCTTGTTTCCATCCACCGGAAGCGAGACATAAGCCATGTCCGTGAGCAGCGACACATGGCCAAGCAAGACTTTGTGTTCGAAAATCGGTCCAGAGGACTTCTCATCCCTCTTTCCTTCGCTCGCTAGACGTAATTGTTGTTCCAAGGCTCGTAGGTTGCCCTTCGTATGCACGGTCAGGTTTGTTGCCGCCGGATGGCTGAGTTTTGCGCTTCTGAGGGCTTTCGTAACCACAGGAATCTTGTCGCCTGGGATCAGTGGCAACGAGTAGACATCTCCAAATTTGTCACCACACAGGATAGTGTTGTCGTCATCAGTGAGGGTAATGGCGGAGGGTCGCTTGGGCATGGCTCTGTATAAAGTATGAATTTCCAGATCCTGAGCCAGAATTGATGGGGAAGATATTCACTCACCTCTCGCTCAGTTGAACAAAAGAACCATCTTCCTGAAGCTGGAAGACACGGACGCACTTATCTTCGGCGGTAAGCGCAACTATGTGCTCGCCGTTCGAAGTGCCAATTACTATGGGGATGTTTGACCAGGCAGGCTTCTCGATTGATTGGGATTCTGACGATGAGACCTTCCGCTTCTTCTCTGGGGGCCCCTGCTCGGCAGTGGACTCTGCGTCAACAGGGTTGGTTTCACTCGAAGCGACATCTGCTGGCCAAACCGCCAGTCGCTGGCCAGTCTCTGCGGAGTAGGAGTACAGCTTGGAGCCCGCTGACCCTATCAGAATGTTCGTAGGTGACCTCTGCACCAAACGGAGGCATTGCAAGGGATGTTGGAATTGCGCAGACATTTTGGAAGAATTGACTGAGAGTGTAAACGAACGAAATATAGAAGCACAAAGTAAGGCCTCTTCTCCGCCGTCGCAGTAGATCGCCGTAAAAAGTCGATGTCCCGCCGCATCATGGCCGCATCTCCGCGCGCCCGACCGCCTTCCCAACTGGGCCGGAGGAAAGCGGGGCCCACGTGACTGGGAAACAAGCGAGGCCACAACCAAGAATTTCCCAAAATCGGCGCGACCTTCCGTACTTTTCGAACTTCATCGTCACGATTCAGATCGGACAACCACGAAAGTCGAAACATTTCACTTGCCCTTAAACATCCTATCTTCAGCGAATTAAGGAGACATGGGGGGCAAGTCTGCTACCAAGGCCGCTTACTTCGAGAAGCTCAAGGCCCTTCTCGATGAGTACAAGACGGTCTTCATTGTCGGTGTCGACAATGTCAGCTCTCAGCAGATGCACGAGATTCGTCTGAGTCTCCGTGGCGAGGGTGTCGTCCTGATGGGTAAGAACACCATGGTATGTGATCCTCTGAAATTACCGGTGCTTGGTTTGCATGCTGACGAATTTTTTAGGTTCGCCGTGCCATCAAGGGCTTTGTCAACGACAACCCCGAGTACGAGCGTCTGCTCCCCTTCGTTAAGGGTAAGTGAAATTGCTTCCAGAGTATGCAATGATGTCAATTGGCTAACTTTCGCTCTCTTTTGCAGGTAACGTTGGTTTCATCTTCACCAACGGTGACCTCAAGTCCACCAAGGAGAAGATCCTGGCCAACCGTGTCGCTGCTCCCGCCCGTGCCGGTGCCATCGCCCCTGGCGATGTCTGGATTCCCGCCGGTAACACCGGTATGGAACCCGGTAAGACCTCTTTCTTCCAGGCTCTCGGTGTCCCCACCAAGATTGCTCGTGGTACCATTGAAATTACCACCGACCTCAAGCTCGTTGAGGCTGGAAGCAAGGTCGGTCCCTCTGAGGCCACCCTGTTGAACATGCTCAACATCTCTCCCTTCACCTATGGTATGACCATCCAGCAGGTCTACGACCAGGGTCAGTGCTTCAGCTCTGCTGTTCTGGACATCGAGGAGTCTCAGCTCCTTGAGGCCTTCTCCAGCGCCATTAACACCATCACCACCATCTCCCTGGCTGTTAACTACCCCACTCTCCCCGCTGTCATGCACTCCCTGGTCAACAGCTACAAGAAGGTTCTTGCCGTTGCTGTTGAGACCGAGTACAGCTGGCCCGAGATTGAGGAGCTCAAGGACCGTATCGCCAACCCTGACGCTTACGCCTCCGCTGCTCCTGCCGCTGCCGCTGCCCCTGCTGCCGGTGGTGCTCCCGCCGCTGAGGCTCCCAAGGAGGAAGAGGAGGAGTCCGACGAGGACATGGGCTTCGGCCTCTTCGACTAAACGTCTCGTGTCAATGCTTCACGGGATACGACTGCCATGTATTAGATACTTTTCTTGCCGGTCTTGACGATTGGGTAAATGAAAATGATTGTCATGGTCATGAAACAATGATCTTCTTTCATCTAGATAGGGACGTAGTAACGTTCCCTGATCTGATGAACTGAAAAAGGTGAGCTTTCAACAATTCTTTGGTTTTTCTTGCTTCGCATATATGCCCACTCCCCGGTGATATGATGATACATTTTTAACCCAGAGCTACTTGCTTTGACGAACAAAAACAGCAACAACAAACACTCTAATTTTTTGCTGACACCATCTCATTCAATTTGCCTTTTTGTCACACATTACCTTTAATGGTCCGATAGCTAACAGCTTTCTCAGGTTCACAGATCAAATGTAGCCCGGACGTAAGGCCGTCGCGCTGTTCGTTACCCCAGAGGCTTGTTCTGTGGTTGTGTACAAGTAGCGGCTAGAAGAGCGTAGTACATGAGGCTGTTGTTGGCTGTGAAGGATTTCATGGGCATTGTATTGGTTGCCGCTGTCAGGGCGCGTGGGAGGAACATTTTCAATACACATAGAATTTACAATGATAGCAACATCACATCGCTACATAGTTATTTTCAAATTGCGTAACATATTCCAATTGAAGTAGATTAAGCAGATGTTCCAGGCTTTCGAACAGCTTGAAGCTTACCTGAGCCACGGAGGACGAGTCGAGTTCCGGCCCGAGGCCGCGAACGGTGGCAGGACTTGCATGTCGCAAGCCCCTCCTCCGCAAGGTCCCCTCCATCACTCCCACATCCCACATCAAAATGCAGCATCAATTCGAGCCATTGAAGAACGACCTCTTGCTGAGGGCAGCTAGGGGTAATTTTGATCTCTAACATTATATTCGAAGACATGGGACTGATACCATTGCAGGCGAGAAAGTCCAGCGTCCTCCGATATGGGTTATGCGGCAAGGTACGCCTCTCTCTACAAACTTCTCGTTTTGCACTCTTTTGACACTCGAGTAAATTAATTCTCTCTGATAACTGACCATGTTGTGCTTCTTATATAGCTGGCCGTTACCTCCCAGAGTACCATGAAGCCAAGGCTGGCCGCGACTTTTTCGAATGCTGCCGCGACCCCGAAGTCGCATCGACGTTGACGCTCCAGCCCATCGACCGCTACGCCGGACTCATCGATGCCGCTATTATCTTCTCCGATATTCTGGTCATTCCCCAGGCCATGGGAATGCAGGTTGAGATGGTCGACAAGAAGGGTCCCCATTTCCCCGAACCGCTCCAGTCGCCCGATGACGGACAGTACGAGAAAGTGATGCAGAAGGAGGTGGATGTCAAGTCGGAGCTCGACTACGTCTACAAGGCTATTACCCTCACCCGCCACAAGCTGCAGGGTCGTGTGCCGTTGATCGGCTTTTGCGGTGCCCCGTGGACTCTGCTGTGCTACATGGTAGAGGGAGGCGGCACGAAGCTGTTCGTCCAGTCGAAGAAGTGGATCTACAAGTACCCCAAGGAGTCGCAGGCTCTCCTGCAGAAGATCGCCGAGATCTGTGTCGAATACCTGGCGCTTCAGGTTGCTGCTGGTGCTCAGCTGGTACAGGTCTTCGACTCCTGGGCGGGTGAGCTGTCTCCGGCCGCTTTCAAGTCGTTCTCTCTTCCCTACTTGCGTCACATTTCGGCAAACCTGCCTAAGAAGTTGAAGGAGATGGGACTGGAGCCTGTCCCGATGACTGTCTTCGCGAAGGGTGCGTGGTTCGGTCTTGAGGATCTTTGCGAGTCGGGCTACAACGTTGTTGGCTTGGACTGGCTGCATGACCCCGCTGAGGCTAGACGGATTGCCAACGGTCGGGTGACGATCCAGGGAAACGCTGACCCCGGTGTTCTCTATGGAGGTCGCGAGGCTATCACGGAGGCTGTGGAGACCATGGCTCGGGGCTTCGAGAAAGGCAAGCAAGGCTGGATTGCCAACTTGGGTCACGGTAAGCACCTCCAGCAACTGGGCGAATTGCTACAATGCTAATGTTACACAGGTGTGACTCCTTTCGTCAACCCGGATGATCTCAAGTTCTTCTTCGAGGAGATCCACCGTCTGACGGTGTAGATTGGGGCTCAATGCGACCAGAACTAGCTTCCAATTCTTGATTATGTACATGAGAGCCTAGCCAGCAATGTCGTTGACACCTTCACGAAATTCAAAAACTCAGACGGAAATGTCCTCGTTCCTGCAAAGACGTCTCACAGTCAGCTTACGTTCCAACAAATATCTAGACCATTTCAATGAGATGCATGGGAAACCTACCAAAGTTCCGGCTTCTCCTTCATAAACTTCTCCATGAGCTGCTTACACTCTGCGTTGTCCAAAACCACAACCTCCTTCCCGCGGCTCTTAAGGTAGTCCTCACCACCCATGAAGCTCTTGTTCTCGCCCACGACAACGCGCTTAACCTTGTAGAGGATGCAAGCACCGGTGCACATGTCGCACGGCGACAGGGTGGTGTACATAGTAGCGCCCTCGTAGGCCGAAGCGGGCAAACGACCGGAGTTCTCGAGCGCGGACATCTCAGCCTATGATCGTCGTTATTAGAATGAGTCAGAGCCAAATGACCACTTGAAGACAGGAAAGAGATCAACGAACATGCAACACCGGACTACCCTTCTGAACGCGCATATTGTGACCGCGGCCTAGAATCTTGCCATCCTTGGAGACCAAACAAGCTCCAATGGGCACACCACCCTCAGCAGCGCCTTGCTTGGCTTCTTCCACAGCAGCGATGAATCCGGCGTCAGACTCCATGATGGTTTGTGTTTGATGTAGAGTAGTAATTGGATTATGGAATATAGAGCGATTGGAGGGGTAATGGGAGAAAGATAGAAAAGATGGGGTAGCATCAAGCCGGAGCAAACTCTGTGTGGTTAACTGCCGGACTGACCCGCATCGGGCTGGACGTGCGGAGCTTCATGATAATGAGAGGGGAGATAGTAGGTGCTGTCATTGAGATAGGGGATGTTGATACATTCGTACTTGATAACAAATTCATTGTTTATGTGTGCATGTGATAGACTTTCTTGGGTTATGGTCATGCATAAGGTGCTTTTCGAGGGTGCTTGGGGATCGACATGCATAAGCGCAAGCCAGATGCTTGACATTTCATGTCTCGTATATAACTATAACTTAATGTGGTACGAGTTAATTGTATATGAGACATCTTATCTGGATCAATAAGGCCGGGATTATAATATCCATCTTGTAACTATTCATTCACAATCTAATAAGTTACAAGAACAAGCTAGCAATGGCTGATAAATTCGGGGTCATCCCGCGCAAACCCCATGCCACTTACTATCTGCCACTACATAGTGGTATCTCTTATCGCAGAGATCAATCTCTGAACCTTTGCTCCACCGTCATGGCAAGAACCATAGGATTGACTTTATTCCTTGGTGGTCTGGTACCCGGGACAATGAATTGCCTCTACAGCAGAAGAAACCGTAGAGTATACGTACCAGGCATTTTCCAGTTAATCCGAAGCCCACCGGCAATTAGCGATCGCGAGGAATAATGAATAGTAATCTCCAGGTGGGGAAATTCCCGACAGGCTTTTTCTTCCCCTCCTTCCGCATCGGGCTAATCGCCTCTCCTTATCGATAAGCCGACAATCAGCCACCGCCCGCCACAATCCCGGTGCCTGAGGCAAAAGAAAAGAAAAAGAATCTGACCTGGAGACAAGACAAGGCAGATCCGGGCGGCTACGTCAAAGTTTAATTTTGCAGTTTCCTCCTTTTTTACTTTTCTTTCTTGGATTTTTCCAGTTGTAATATACTGGATAGGTATTTTTTACATGTAAGATGGGAGTGTTATGTAATAAGTGAGTGTGGATGGAGGGATGCTACACAATACACAGCATTTAGTACTTTATTTAGTGTGAAGATCCTCGTGAACTGTGTATAATTGCACTGTAATACCCAGGCAGACCCTGTCGCATACTACCGACTTGTGGAATAAGGACCAGCTTACTTTAGGACCACCCCTCCATGTTGTAGTAGTATCGAACGAGATAGAAAGGAAAGTCCCGGTGATACATACAACTTTTGGTCAAACAGCCAGAAAATGGATGCAACCAACGCTCTCTCCACGGTCACGAACCGGTAATTACCAGGGCGATTGTCAGCGATGGAAAGGCTGCGAAAGCGGTGGAAGGACACAGAATCGCATCGAAGCAGTCGGAAGGCGCGCTCGGGCCATGAAGGCTGCGGGTGACGGGGCTTGTCGAAGCAAAGAGAACAACTCCATTCAGCCTGAGACGTTGTCATCGTGGTCATGACAATTTGTTCAAAAGCATCCGACGATCTCTCCTTTCGTGTTAAGATCTGATCCTTTCAGATTTCCATCTCCTCCCCCCCATCTTCCTATTTAACTCCAGTTCCGGCCAGTTGAAGCGCAGTTCGCTCATCTTCTCCAGCATTTCTATACTTCCCGGAGTTTCGCCCCATCGTATCTCCGGTATTTGATACACAAATCTCGAAACTCTTGGCGGGACTTCACTGTGCTCGTGCGGCAAATCAAAGGTCGATTGGTGCCTGGTCCTGGTAATCAGATTACACATACGATACCCTCTCACTGTGTCTCAGCCGCCGCCCTGTCGCCGCTTTCTCTCTTCTCTGGCTCTCTCTCTCCTGGCTTTGATTATCACCCGGACGGACCCTCTCTCTCTCTTCTCTCTCCAACTCTTCCTTCTTCCTTCCACCTCTCACTTGTTCCCCCTCACGCCTTCGAGACTCCTCTCCCCTCGTCTCTTCCACTCCTCCCTCTTTTTCAAGGACTTCTCTACACTCCTTGGTTTTGTGCCCTCTTTGTTTCAACCTGTTCCATACCCCGGTGTAAGGTTTTCTAGGATCGGATTGTTCCGTTTCGTCCCTCCGAAAAGTTCTTGATTCTTCTTTATTTTCCCTCGGCTTCTCCTCGTCGCCCAACTTTCCTCTTCCGAATTTTTTTCTCTTCTAGACACAGATCACAATGGTCAAGGAAACTAAGTTTTACGATATCTTGGGGGTATGTTCTGGGTTTTCGCCAACTTTGGCTGGTTTTGCACGTCACAGAAACTAACGGTGAGGCGGTTAGGTTGCCCCGACGGCTTCTGAGGCCCAACTGAAGTCTGCCTACAAGAAGGGTGCTCTGAAGTACCACCCTGGTAAGTACGAACTTGAATCGCGAGAGCGGTGCTTTTCACGAATTATCTAGGGGTGTTTACTAACGCGACATCTTCATAGACAAAAACACGAACAACCCCGAGGCCGCTGAGAAGTTCAAGGAATTGTCTCACGCTTACGAAACCCTCTCCGACCCCCAGAAGCGTAGCCTCTACGACCAGCTCGGTGAGGAGGGTCTTGAGCATGGCGGTGCTGGCGGTGGTATGGGCGCCGAGGACCTCTTCGCTCAGTTCTTCGGCGGCGGTGGTGGTTTCGGTGGCATGTTCGGTGGTGGCATGCGTGAACAGGGCCCCAAGAAGGCTCGCACCATCCACCACGTTCACAAGGTCAACCTCGAGGATATCTACCGCGGTAAGGTCTCGAAGCTGGCCCTTCAGAAGTCCGTCATCTGCCCGGGTTGTGATGGCCGCGGTGGTAAGGAGGGTGCTGTCAAGTCGTGTACCGGCTGCAATGGTTCCGGTATGAAGACCATGATGCGCCAGATGGGTCCCATGATCCAGCGATTCCAGACCGTTTGCCCCGACTGCAATGGCGAGGGTGAGATCATCCGTGAGAAGGACCGCTGCAAGCGCTGTAACGGCAAGAAGACCACCGTGGAGCGCAAGGTTCTCCACGTCCACGTTGACCGTGGTGTGAAGAACGGCCACAAGATTGAGTTCCGCGGCGAGGGTGACCAGATGCCCGGTGTTCTGCCCGGCGACGTCGTTTTCGAGATCGAGCAGAAGCCCCACCCTCGCTTCCAGCGCAAGGACGACGACCTCTTCTACCAGGCCGAGATCGACCTGCTCACTGCTCTTGGCGGTGGTACCATCAACATTGAGCATCTTGATGACCGGTGGTTGACCGTGACCGTCGCTCCAGGCGAGGTCATCACTCCTGGTATGTGCTTCCCCTCTCCAGCCTCGACTTCGGCGCATCAGTCTAACGTTCTCTCTGCAGGTGCTATCAAGGTTATCAAGGGCCAGGGTATGCCTTCCTACCGCCACCACGACTTCGGTAACCTTTACATCCAATTCGATGTGAAGTTCCCCGAGAAGGATCAGCTCAAGAACCTCGAGTTGCTCGAGCAGGTCCTGCCTCCTCGTATGGAGCAGTCCCAGCCCCCGCAGGACGCCATGATCGAGGACTTCGAGCTGGAGGACATCGATGGCAGCGAGACCTCTCAGGCGCGCGCACACGGTGCCGCCAACTCCATGGACGAGGATGACGATGATGTTCCTCCTGGCGCTGAGCGTGTGCAGTGCGCATCGCAGTAAACGGGGAGTTTAGATGAGGAGTGATGATGTTGTGCTGGGGCTTGATGAAATTCGCTTATGATACCATGTGAGGGGTTTCGGCCCCGGTACTGCTCGGTTCTGTTATGTTCGTGCGATGACTTATTTCTGCGATGGCGTTTGCACTAAGATTCGGGAGATGAAATGGAGATTTCTTTTCTTTTCGTTGGATGCGTTTTCCACCATCCTCACCATCATCACGCAGTGGTTTCCCATGCTATAATGTTCTCTTTTCCTTTTTCTCTCATTGGGAATGGGGGCCTCTGGGATTTGATGAGTGGATGAGAGACGATGTTATATGAGCCAGCTTCTTTTCTCCTTGACTCCGGGGAAACATGTCGGAGGGTTGAGCGTTTCTTAGTTTATAGACTACACAGCACGGCTTGGGTATATCATGCTTCTGGGTTCAAACGTCCATGTAGCGATAGAGTAATCTTATGGCTATGCCTTCAACCTCTGGAAGTCCAAATAGACACACCCGATACTAAACAACAGAGACAACGTCCTACCTCCTTCGCCTTACCTCCCAATTCTCATCCTCAAATACCAGAATAAGAGGAAAAAAGATAGAACAAGGAAAATTACACCCCGACACACAACACAAATCCAACATAATTTACTTTGTACTATTTACCCACATATCTCGGCCCGCAAACACCCCCCCACCACCGCACACCCTCCACAACGAAACCACAAAAACAAAGAGCAACGAAAAAACAAAAAGAAATGTCCTCAGGGAGGTTCGAACTCCCGGCCTTGGGATATCCAGGAAATTGAGATGTTTCCTAGTCATATTCAAGATGTGATATGAGACCCACGTGATAACCAACTACACCATGAAGACATGTTATGTCAGCGGGGAGGGAAATTGGATATATATCCATATCCAGGGAGGGAGGATATGTATGTGAAGGCCAACTGTGTACTAGCTACGGACTTGGTAAGTTACTTTGTAGTAGTACTTTACAATAGAAGTATGGGGGAGGATTTGGGGTTTTGTTCAGTGGTTAGGGGATTTGAGTTTTGGTGGTAACTTGGTGGTATCTTGGTGGAGTGAGACTATATGTTTGTTGGTAGGGTTTGATTTTGTTTATTATTTAGGTTCTAGTGGTGGGTAATTATAGATATATGGCTCGGTGTTATACTAGTGGTAGTGTTCCATAGCCCGAGTAAGTAGGAGTTTGTCATTCATGAATGGTATCGGCGTAGTTAAGATAAAGCTACAGATTTAACGGATAATATAATACAAATAATGGGTCAATACACAGGATATATGCTATTCGCTAAGACGGTTGTAAAATATACATAAAATAGTAGTAGTAGTATCAATTGCCATCATCACCACTCCGTCCAAACCTGCCTCCGAATCCACCCAGATCCCGACGGAAGAATTTTCCAATATTCTTCAGATTCTCGTTCAGGTTGCCTGCGGCGGTGGTGCTTTCCCCGCCTTGCGTTTGTGTTTGTCCCAACGGTCCAGGAGTAGAGGCCGGACTGGTCAAGGCGCCGGATATGGCGCCACCACCTGGGGTCAGGTTAGTCGTGTTGGCTGAGCTCATTGGCGTCCCGAATCGATCTACACCGTCTTTGGCGGCGGAGATGATGGCGGATCCGAGCATGGTAGGGTCGAAGCGGGTGGAGGCGCCGATGGATGCTGCGGCAGTGCCGAGACCGAGGCCCTGCGAGACGGTGCCGGAGGATGGTGTCACGGAGGCCTGCATGGCGGACAAGATGGGGTTGCTCTGCTGGAGGTTCGCTGCGTAGCGATCAGATGCTCGGTGGATTTGGAAGAGTTCTAAGAGGTGGTTTTGTTCCTGGCGACTGCGGATGCCCTTGATGTCGAGGATCTTGCGGAAGTTGGCGTTGTTTTGGTCGGCGATGTGGACCAGGTAGGCCTGGACGAGGGCCTCAGGAGGAGATGGCTGAACTTGGAGAGTCTTGAGGAGGGCTTCGATCTTCGCAAAGCTGGCGTTGACGCGCTTTACGAAACCTGCTGGCGCGGGGCTGGGGAGGAGCGACGAGAGGCCAGTCTTGAGGGTGTAGGCATCCAGAAGCATCTGATAACATCTGTTAGTTCCAATGAACATTACAATATAAGCTGAGACAGTGAACCTACCTGCTCCGCACCAGTCTCCGCGATCGGCTTGCACTGGAAGACAGTCGCAATGAACACGTTCGATATCAGCTCCACAACATGGTCTGCGAATGCGCGGGCATACTGTTGCTTATGCAGCAGCTGCAACAATTCAGAGCATCTTGTCTGCGTCTTGGACATTAGCTCGCCGACATAGGAGCTTTGATCGCTTACGCCCTCCAGCCGGTTCCAGGGTGTGTTGCGCATCTCCCGCCAGCAGGGCTCCAGGTCAATCTCGACCTTACGCACCAGTCCTCGAACAGCTGCAGAAGCAATGCCCATGAACGAGTCCGCTTGACTTTGTAGGTCCACCGACTGTTTGAGGTTTTTGTCGAGCCTACCCTTGATCTTTTCCTCTAATTGATTGCAGGTCGTATAGCAATAGTCCGCAGTGTTGAGTACTAGGATAAGCTCCTCGGTACCTGGTACCTTCGAGGGAGTGTGACCCGTAGGCCTTTCACTGATGTAATAGAGCAGGACCTGTGCATACTGATCGAGATACTTCGCAAATACCTTCGCAAGCTCCGCAAGGCTAGCGCCAGTAGATAGCTTCGCGCATTGCTGCAACGAATGCCGGTAGAACGTGAATAGGTCGGTGGAAGAGGATATAACAATGTGCGAGTCAAATTCTTCATCCGCTGGCTTCGCGGGTTGTTGGCGGTATTTAGGGATAAGCGCAGCCAGCTGCTTGTCCTGGGCCTCAACCCAGACGCTCAGGTAGGGCTCGAATGCCTCTGAGATGGCTTGACCAAAGACTGGTGCCTCACTCGAGGCGAACGTATCAGTCGAAGGCCGAGATGGACTGACAAACCGCCGTTCAAGGGAATGCTCAAAGTCCAGCGTCTCTTGTAGACAGGACAGTAGCAGGTTGACATCAATGGTCTGGCCATTGCGCACCGATCGGGAGAGAATGCCCTTAAAGTCCTCCCGCGTACCTTCGCAGAAAACGTTCGCCAGAATCTCGTTGACCCTCCAGGAGGCGGGAAAGATGGGCGCATATTCCTCATCGTAGTTCTTCAGAATCCGCCTGAACCAGGCATACCGCCGTGAGATATTGTCCAGTGACCCGGCCTCTTCGTTGTTCCTAAAAACCTGGCGATATTCACGTAGCTGGAAGTTGCAATACCAGGTCACCAACCTAGACTTTGCGTGATCACCAAGCGCATCCATGACCAAGCAGCCCTCCGAGAGCACGTGCCTCTTTTGGCCAACTTCCCCTTTCGCGAACGCCAACTCGAAGTCCTCGCAGACTTGCTCCAGAAGCTCCCGTTGTATATCCGCAACGTTCCGACTGAGCAGCGCAATCTGATCGATCGAGCGATACGACTTGAAGTGCGCCATCAACTGTATGACCGCCTGTAGCAGCTGAGCACAGTCGCGGTACTGCCGCGTCCGGCCTAGAGAACGTAGTTGGTCATAGGCTGTCGTTAACATCTGCAGTCTCTTCAAGACCGTCATCGACAGCGTGAGGTTCTTCTTCGCATTGTCCAGCTGCTTGATATCCGCCGTCATCTCCGTAATGGCCAGCTCCGTCCTGGACGCGCGGTCGCGCACATCGTCAATCTTCTTGAACAGCTCCGTCAAGTCGGCCTTGGCGGCCTGGATGCGCTCGACACTCTCCGCATTGGAAGTGACCTGGTCTTCGACCAGTGCGCCGATATCGTTGTCGAGCTCATCCTCATATTCGCGGAGGGACTGGGAGACCTGGGACACCGACGACAAGGTGGAGGGGTGGGAAAAGATTGAGTTCAAGTGGTCGATCGGATCGTAGTCCGCTGTGAGATTGGATCTATTAGCAAGCTCCCTGATGGGGTAGGTCGTCAATGACAGCCCTCACCTGCGTCCAAAGTATCGAGGGGGCCCTCCCCGTTGGAGGGCATTTGGCCGGGGGTGGTGGTAGTAGTGGCGGACATTCCATTAGCTCCTGAGCGTCAACGCCAGACACATGCTGCAATGCCAGCTAGGGGGCATCCGCCAATTCAACATGTAAACATAAGCCCAAGAGCGAAGGCTACCAAAGGAGTGAACAGAACCCGAAAACCACAAGCTGTAAGGACCGCGGGGGAGGTTGTTGATGCCGGAGCCGCAGGTCGGGAAGTTGGCGACAACTCAGCCCGGCTCCGTCAATCAGTCAGTCACGGGCAGCTCTTAGTCTTAGCGCTTTGCCCGCGCCGCCGGGCCTCGTCATCGCCTCTTGTCTGTTCGTCGGAAACAGGACAGGCGCATGATAATCCTATGTTTATGTTATTTTTATGAAGGTCAATTCTACAAGCTGTTCAGAGAGATAGATGGATAGGTCAAGTGGCATCGACCTGGAAGTCATTGCCCCCAGAATCGATCCTAGGTTTCTGGTTTGATTGAACCACCCCTTGTACCGCAGGTCTCGTCTATATGGACATGAAAATCATCGTGGTCTTTTAGTATACATCGAAGGGAAATTAAAGCAATTGTAACGAGCTCCGAAGCCATTCGCCCAAGCCATGCATCAGCAAATCACAAATAAAGAGACAGTCGACTCCGATCAAACACCACCAGGAACCTCCCGACGAAAGCCGGGGATGCGAAGACCAGACTAAGTCTGGAGGAGAATCGCTCGAGAAGTTGTTTCCTCGTTCATTTGGTATATCTTCTTTTTCTTCCTTTTTCTTTTTCATTTTTTACTTTTAAGAATTGGCCCTTCCCTCCTTGGTCATATTACACTGCTGCAGGTAGAAAAGCATCTGGAGGCAGTGTTCCCTGTGCCTGCAAAAGCTTATTAGCGCATGGTTGTATGTGAAGAACACACTCTAGACTCACCTTAAGTTCCTCGAAGTTCTTCAGTGCAGCCTCCATATTCCAGCCGTTTCCAGACAAAGCCATCTCAGAGTACTGAAGGGTCATCCGAGTATTAGAGCTCATCTGAAGTACTAGCTGCTCTTGCTGGACTTGTGTGTCTGCTTTCCCAGGCGCCGGCATGCCGTAGCCTTCGGGGGCACCCGGAATAGCTACGGGTAGTGCTGCAGGTGCCGCAGGCGCTGCGGGTGCAGCCGCAACTGCTGGAGGTGCTGCTTGGGGAGCGGCTGGTGGAACCTCTGGAATCCATGCCTCGTGTCCACCATAGGCTCGCAAGCAGAGAAGATCACTGACGACCCTAATTCCGCCCATACCACCACCGGGCCCGATGATGAATGTTCGATCGAAACTGCGCGTTTCAACCTTGGCCCCGTTTATCTCGTCGAACTTTCCGTGCACCATGATGAGAAGACCACCAACACCCGTGGAGCTCTGTCCAGAAATATCAGGAAGACCTGGGATGGGGTAGCACTCGATAAGCCATTCTTCCGGGTGCGTCGCAATGTCAGGATGTCTTGTCGCCGGAAGACTAGTCCACAACTCGCGTATCTTCTCCGCACCGGTATATACCCTAGACATGCGTGCAGGGAGATGGCTGATCTTGAGAAGGTTTCTGCTTTTCTTAATATAAGCATCCCAGGGCGCTGTTTCTGTTTGTTGGGCCCTGGGAGCCGATGTGTTCACATTGAGAGTGAACGTAGTGTGGTTGTCGTAGACACTGCTAAGAATGCCGCTTCGGTCGTTGTCGTAGCCCGCGAAGAAAGCCCGGACGAAGTTCTCTGCGATCTGAGAGTCGTCCTGGAAGTGTGGTGGCTGCACTGGAATCGGAGTCTTCTTCTGCGCCGCTATTTCTTCTGCGGTGCGGACTTCGACATTGTTCAGGAACCGGAGCTTGGGATACCACTTCAGCATGGTATCCTTGAAAGTAGGGTCGGCGCTAAAAGGAGTGTTTGATAGGTCGAGAAATTCGAGGTTCCGGAATTTCCAGCGCCATCCAATCAAGGACTGCGCATCTTTGAATTCATTGTTGGATAGGTCCAGATTTTTCAGGTCGGGAATTGTCGATGCTAGTGTCGTCACAGCTGTGATGTTGGCAAGCTGGTTATGAGCGAGACTGACACTCTCCACTGCCTCTCGGCGCGCCGTGGCATTGTCGAAATTCAGCTCCCAAACCTTCATCAGTGCCGGGAAGAATTTTGACTCGGTAGAGGTGCTGCCAAAGATTCCCATAGCCAACAGATCCGGATCGGTTCCCAACTTCGAAAGATCGAGTAACTTTGTTTGCTGGGTGTAGCGCTTGCCGAGAATTGTCGTCATTTTCGCCTTGGTCTCGGCAGCAGAGGATGTGCCGCCATTTTGTGCCATAGCAGACAGCATAGGCTGGTCCAATAATCCGCCAGTAGACGGATCATACATTTCGGTGGTAAGAGGGGCACCTGCAAAACTAAACCCATTGAGCTGAAGCATCCTTTCCAACAACTCTGGCCGAATAGAGACGATAAGAGCGTCGCCTTCAACCCGCGACTAATGAACGTTAGTAAGGCATAAGGGACCTTGCGAGCCGCGCCATTCATCCAAAAGAACAAACGCCAGGAGAGACTAAGAAAGTGCCGATCGTCGTTCTGAACGCACCACCCCTGCAAACGAGAGCACATCGGAGAGGACGAAGCTGATAATTGATGTCGGTGACCGCCAGTTCTGGTGTTGCACATACCTTTGTAATCCTTGCGCGTGTGCCAGCTTTCGAGTCGGGTGGGCTGAGTTTTTTTTCGAGGAAGGCGATGAGGGATTCAAGACCGCCGTCGCGATTAGAAGCTGCCTTGCTTTGCTTCCAGCCACGAACAATAACCTGTTCCAGACCACTTCCCCGTCCTCCTTGTCGGATGTTCGCTTGAGTGTCTGAGTTACTGGAGATGGCCTTTTGGATCGCATCCATGGCTTTGTTCGCTGCTTGCGACCGGCCAGAATCGCCACGACCCTTCTTTCCACGGTTTCGTGCAGAGCCAGCGTCCATCATCAGATCACCTTCTCGATCGACCCGTGTCGCAGCACCCCGCTTGCGAATGCCTCCACGATCCGAGCCCCCCGAGCGACCGCGAGAACCTTTTCCGCCCTTCATGTTGATAGAGGCGATAGTTTTCGTAGTAATATTTCGTATGAGGAGAGAGGGCGACGGACAGGATGGTAGAAGTTGAGTGTTGTGGAGGCGAAACGAGCGCTGCTCGCCTTTAGTGGTTCGAGATCGGATCAATAGACATACAACTATCGATTCGAAGAGGTTTCGTAGGAAGGAGGAGGAAAATGCGAAGTAGCGAGAGAAATACTCGATGCGATACTTGTGAGAAGTCGAGGACGGTTCAAATTAAGCAACCGCGAACCTCGATGTAGGGGAGGAGTGTTATGAGAGGGGAGGAAGAGAAGCAAGAAGACGGAGTCAGCGCAGAAAAAGTGACGTTGAACCACCAAAAGCAGTGCCCGCGAAGCTGTGCAGAGTCACGTGGGCGGCCGGGCGCAGGCCCTCCACGTGATTGTGCACCAGGCACAGGGCGATTGACCAATCAGAGGCTGTAGTCTGTCCTTTGGCACGGACGGTAATACACAATACCGATGCACCAAAGTGGACAGAGGTTATTACGCGGCTAGTCCCGATCTGGTAGTGGCATCCATCGGAGGAGTGGCTGTTTCTCCGCTTCATCAACAGGACAGCTGGAGCTTCCATCGGCCTGTTTCCCCAAGGACTGTCTGCTTGTTGATCGTCCTCAGTCGTGCGCAAATCGCGACTTCCCGTGCTTGTCCAATCTTTTTATCCGACTTGGTTCGCGTAAGGTTGCCCCCGTCTTCAACTCTCTGCATTCATTGATCCTTCCTCGAACTATTCAGCTTACATACGGTTCTCTCCAACAGGCTTCATTCCCGCGGGCACTAGCTGGTCTTTAGTCGGACCAACGCTCCTTTGTCTATATCCCCAAACACTCCTTCGTATTCATGTCGATCAATTAGAGAAATGCCGGCGAAATCGCGTTTCACAAGGCTAGATGCCTTTGCTAAAACAGTGGAGGATGCGCGCGTCCGCACCACCTCCGGAGGTGTCATCACCATAGCCTCGTTGCTGGTCATCCTGTGGCTTGTGTGGGGTGAATGGGTGGATTACAGGCGGGTGGTTGTTATGCCCGAATTGGTGGTAGATAAGTCAAGAGGTATGATAGCTTAGTGAACTCTGGACGGCCAGTAACGACTTGATTGCTGATGAACCCTTCGCACAGGCGAGAAGATGGAGATCCACCTGAACATGACCTTCCCCCGTCTACCCTGTGAGCTCCTGACTCTGGACGTCATGGATGTTTCTGGTGAGCAGCAGACCGGTGTTGTCCACGGTATCAACAAGGTGCGCCTTACTTCTGCCGCAGAAGGAGGCCGCGTCATCGACGTTAAGGCCCTTGAGCTGTAAGTTGCAACTCCAAACCGGCTCCTGCCAACGCCAATTGCACTGCTAACTATAAACTCTCCTAGTCACTCCAAGGAAGAGAGCGCCAAGCATCTCGACCCTGATTACTGCGGTGAATGTTACGGCGCGACAGCTCCCGCGGGTGCAAGCAAACCTGGATGCTGCAACACCTGCGACGAAGTCCGTGAGGCCTATGCACAGCAACAATGGGCATTCGGAAAGGGCGAGAACGTTGAGCAGTGCGAGCTTGAGGGCTACGCGGAGCGCATCGATGCGCAACGCCGTGAGGGCTGCCGCCTTGAGGGTGTCCTCCGTGTGAACAAGGTGGTCGGTAACTTCCACATTGCTCCGGGTCGCAGTTTCACCAGCGGAAACATGCACGTCCACGACCTCGCAACCTTCTTCGACGCCGAATTGCCCGAATCTGAGAGACACACCATGACTCACGAGATCCACCAGCTGCGGTTTGGACCTCAGCTTCCCGACGAGCTCTCTGATCGCTGGCAATGGACTGACCACCACCACACCAACCCTCTGGACAACACCAAGCAGGAGACAAACGAGCCCGGCTACAACTACATGTACTTCGTCAAGGTGGTGTCGACCTCTTACCTTCCCCTGGGTTGGGATCCGTTGTTCTCGTCCTCCATCCACTCCGCGTACGAGCAGGCCCCTCTTGGCTCCCACGGAATTGCCTACGGTGCTGAGGGCAGCATCGAGACGCACCAGTACTCTGTGACCTCGCACAAGCGCTCGCTGATGGGCGGAGACGCCTCCGATGAAGGCCACAAGGAGCGTCTGCACGCCGCCAACGGCATTCCAGGAGTCTTCGTCAACTACGACATCTCCCCCATGAAGGTCATCAACCGGGAGGCCCGCCCCAAGACCTTCACCGGTTTCTTGACTGGTGTGTGCGCCATCATCGGTGGTACCCTGACCGTCGCGGCAGCCCTAGACCGTGGTCTCTACGAGGGTGTCAGCAGGATGAAGAAGCTCCACTCGAACTGAGCGTAGAGCAAGCAAAAACCCGAAAATAATTGAAAAAAAAGTAAACCGAACACCAAAGCCACAACCCACTAAACAGAAACGAAAACAAACAGACCCCATGGAGAGCGTTGTATGGAGTATAGGGGCAAGAAGCCAGACAGAAAGACAGGGGGAGCGAAAGAGCAAGATAGGACGGATGAAAGGGAGAACTCCGGAAGTTCAGGCGTTACATTTATTACTCACCTACATTGATTGCATTTCTGATCCATTTTGATCTTGGTCGGGGGAAAACTCATTGATACACCTATTATTTTGCCTTCTATATCATTGGTACTATTATTTGGGTTTACTTGTTTTTGTTTCCATAAGACACATAGCACGTATAACAGCCTTTGCATGGGTACTACCTGCCTACAGACAGTGTATTGATTGATTGATTGATTAATTGATAGGTTGCTTGGATGTTGGTCCTTCGTAAAACGCCACTACACTAAACAAAGTACTAGCTTCAGCTATTGTTGCATTTGATTGGTTCTGGTTGACTACTAGTACGACTTAGTACCATTTTGCCCTAAGACCATCCTTAGTATTGGAATTTTGAAGGAATACCATGAACAAAGGGACTACAATCTACGTTCACTGGTCGGGTCATTCCGTTCTACTTTTTATTCCCTTTGAATTGTTTATTGAGCACCTGCTTGAGGCAGAAAAAATATGATTCTTGATTTGAGAAAGAGATATGGCCACCCAATGCCAGGAGTGCAACTGCACTCTTTGAAAAGCAATAAATACTACCTGACTATGCCATGCTTGCAAGACAAAACAAGGAACATTCCCGAAGATACTCCGTAAACCCAATGAAAATGATCGCTTTCACCCAATCAAGTCCAAAATACTATAGAGCAGGTAGCCTTTGAGGCGTTGAAACGTCTAACTCTAATATGTAGAGAAAGCTCACGGGGCTAATGCAAAGTGAAGTAAAGCAAAGAAGGGTTTAGATCATGAATTTACGCAAAGGAGAGGAAGTTGAAGTGGGATAGACATAAGGAGATGGGATGTGAAGGAGGGGATGAAAATGACAGGTTTAGTAATGCAGGGTGCTAGCATTACCAGAGTAGCCTGGATGTTGGCCATAAGGCGGGTTTTGCTGGTAGATTGGAGGAGTTTGTGCCTGCTGTGATGCGAATTGTCCGTACCAAGACTGGCGCCGGGGTTCATCTGGCCGGTATGGCTGGTTGAGGGCATCCCACGTGCGGCTCGCCGTGGGCATATTGTAAAGACTATAGTGACTGCCCGGATTGTAGGCAGCCGCGGAAGCGTTGGAAGCCATCTGCTGTTGTTGCCAATTTTGCTGGCGTTGCACGATCGCATGCTGTACCATTTGGTTGGACAGGCCTTCACGGATGGTTTTCTTCTCGCGCTCACGAGCATCAATCGCTCCCACCAGACCCATGGGGTTTACCGGGGTCGGCTGGGCTTTGTTGACATTGGATATGTCGAGTAGAGGCGCACCAGTCATACGAGCCACGTGTTCCTGTTCACGAGCTGAAAGATGAGACGACAGTTCATTGTAGTTCATGATGCTGTTGGCGCCGCGGGAACGTGGGCGAGGCGGTGTATCTCGATTGCCAGACAAGTGCGATTGGGGCCGAGAATTATTGGTCCAGTCCCCGGAAGCAGGGCGAGGGGGCGGTGGTGTAGAGGAAAGAGTTCGGTTATGGGTGGTGATTGGGGGACTTGGGGCTGATCGTTGTTGCACGAATTGCTCCGCTGTAAGCCTGCCTGGAGTGGTCGGACGGGGTGCAGTCATACCCGGCTGCCACATCATGTTATTACTCGGAGACCTTGAATGCTGTCGTTCTGCCTGATAAGAGAACTGCTTTTCTGTTGAGTTTGAGTCGCTCCTCTGGTGTGTGGATTTCTTCAGAGTATCGCCCGTACTGGGACGCCCAGTCGTAGGTAGATAAGTTAAGGTCGGCCCAAAGTCGATGCTGGGGATATCGGCACTGGGTTCCAGTTTCGGTTCGTCAACGGTGTAATGCGCATCACCGATGACCAGGTCTTGTCTCGGGGGACCAGATCCCACGGTTTTCATAACTCCCATTCTGGGCCTAGTGACTGACCTAACCGAGCGCTTGCTGTAGATAGACCCCCGAGTACTGGCATAATCGGGAGAAGTTGCAGACGCGTCATCATATATGCTTTCCTCATCTTGGTGGCTCTCTTTATCAGGAGAAGTGAGCGAGAATTGGCGGGAGCCGACCCAGTTCAGGACCTCTTCATCAACAGTATGGCGCAGGTCCTCGTAGCTAGGCTCTCCTGCAACACTTGCGGCATCGGATTCTCGGATCTGATGCGCAGGCAGAGGCTTCCGTTTTACGGCCTTTGTTGTATCTAAACGAAGACTTGCTCTCTTCGGCAAAGTGAGCGGCGGGCCGAAGTTACTTGGACGATCTTCAGGCGTCGGTGGCCCTTGTTCCTGAAGAGTAGCTCTCTTCTCGCTTGTATCTGATAAGAGCGATGGCGCACCCTGCTGATCAGAGCTAGTGTTAGGAGTTAGCGGACTAGGTTGGTTGGACTCCTTGATTGTTTCATGGCTGCCCGAAGGGAAAGAAGCGCCAAGCAGATTCATGCTTCCAGAGGCAGCGAGAAGCTGTGTCAAAGTGGCGTCAGACATCCTATTAGTCGCTTTTCTCAAATCCGGTGAAGGCTGAGGTCGCATTGCGGGCATTTCTCCCGGTGCGTGTGTGAAGGCTGGTGGCAGGACTACAGGAGATGGAGGGGATGTTGAACGGAAGTGATGTCCAAGCGGCTCATCATCGGGGTCGAGATGCTGATGCCTGTCGCTCCCGGTGCTTCTGTGGTCGTCTACCCCGCTAGTACCAGGGCGCTCACTGCCACGTGCCACAAGTTCCTGATCGGAGGATGCTGGGGATGCTTCAGCGGCTTGCGCTTGTCTTCTGATGGAAGCAAATCCAGCCGTGTCCGAAGAGCCCCTACTATGATGAATTGGAGAGATGGAAACATCACTGGGGGCACCAGGCGCAACAGCATCGTTGGACTGGTTAGAATCTAGCCGGTTCACCGGGGAAGTGCAGTTGCGTTGATGCGTCATGGTGCGGCCGTTGGATTGTCTGTTCGGCATTGTGGACCTGAAGCGTGGCTTACTTGCAGAGATGCTGCTCGTCCTGCTTCCAGCAGCCGCCATGCGACGCGCTGTAGCCTCCTTAAGTTGCTGTCTCCATTCCGCCTCGCTCCAATCCTGACTTCCTGGTGTCTGCATGAGACTGGAGATATCCAAAATATCAAGATAGCCATAGCGCCTTTGGTTCGGAAAGGCAAACATAATGCTTTTGATATGGTTGGTGGCGGCAATAAGGCGAGTGGGCCGCCCATAAAGGTTGAACGTGTCAAATGTAGGGACGAGAAACCGGAGCATCATCTCAAACCCAGAAACCGCTGGATGGACTTCGGGCATGACGAAGACAAACCCGTCGGTTGTCGACTCTGTTTGTGAGTGAACCGTAATCTTTCCTTCGATCTTGACCAGGGTCGACTGTTCGATCAACGCCCTCGACTGGGGATAGATGGCGTAAGCGGCGTATGCATCCGTGATGGTCGCAATAGGCCTCGCTTTCTTGGTCTTCTTCGTATCATAGAATTTGATGTCGCCAGTTATCAGTCGGGGTGCTCGATCATACGCCGACTTCTTCTTTATTGACTTCTGCGCTTTCTGGAATTCCTTCTCATTCGGAGGCGTGATAACAAACCAGCACCGTCTCCAGGGCGTGCCTGCCCCGAATCTCACGCGGGCCCAATCCTCGTGTTTGTAACGGTGGCGATCCAGAATGGTTTTAATACTGTTGAGACCTTTACCCTTGCCCGCAATGATCGAACCCGTATATGCCTCATATAAGGACGTGTGTTCGAACAAAGCGAGTCGTATGGCTGCGGTCCACTGCGTCAGAGAGTGGAAGGAATTGAAATGCAAAAGGTATCTATTTTGACCAGCGGAACATATACTCAAGATGTTCTTCAGGGACTGCGCTCCTTGGTTTCTCGTTGGCAGAGTCTCAAGCTAGACCAGCGACAGTTAATAATCAGAATCAAGAGCTGCAACATCCAAGATTGCATCATCTTACCATCTTTATTGAAGCGTCAGCCAGGTTAATGAAAGTAGGGCAGACGTCTTCCGACTCTTCTGCGGCGTCCAGCGCTGCGGCATCCCATAACGAAAGAGCGGTCCCGACAAGCTGCGCATAGCATTCCACCCATTGGCGATCAGCACAGGGACGGCCATCTGCGATATACTGTAATTAGTACGACATTGGACGATAACAAGCTCTCGGGATACCCACGAATGTCCAGATCGTTCAACTTAAGGAAATATCCTTCGTGGTATAGCTTGTTGGCATGGCTGTTCAGATACCCAAAGATTGGTTGGAGCTCTGGAGGGGTATCCTGCGAGAACTCCAGCAGCGGAGGATTGTGAGAGAACAGCGTCGACTCCGGCCGCGATGTTACCCGTCGTTCGACATGTGGAGTCCCGCTTATCGGCGAAGCATCGAGAGGCGAGGGGGTATCCGAAGAAGGTGTGTCTACTCTTCGCGGAGGATTGTTCAGTGTGAGCGAGGCCGACGATGTCCGGTGATGCTGGCTGAGGTTGTCTTTACGGGACGATCCCCCGAAGACCGACATAAGAGAAAGCACTGGGAGCGCAAGGGGTGTCAATCACCGTCATCTGCATTTTGTATGGGAAGTATAAGAGGATATGCTAATGACCTACCACGCGAGCGACCCATGATGGCCAAACTGGGGTTTTAGCCCAAAGAGACAATAGAACTGAAGAAGACCGGCTTCCAGCTCACTCGAAAAGGTAGGATTTGTGTTACACAACGAACATGCAGACTGCGCGGAAGGGTTGGGGCCGAGTAGTGCCGCTACGGGAATAAATGGGGAGAGAACGAGAGGCGAAAGAGTCGGCGAAGAAGAAGAAGAAGAAGAAGAAGAAGAAGAAGAAGTGTGTACTGAGTCCAGCTCCTCCGCACGGAGATAGCGACAATGTGTCCGGACCCGCCAATACTAGATCAGGAAGTTTGATTCCATCAAGTTTCCGGTGGGACTGGGGGGAGGCGCCCAAACGAAAGACAGGAGCGGAAGGGCAAATAAGACCGCGGCAATACTGGAACAAGTGCCAAGATGGCGGATGATGGCGCAAAGTCAGCTTTGCAAGCGCCTGACTAGGCCACTTGATGTCTCAGGTTTCGATGGCGGAGAAAGCGGAAGGGAATGAGTCGGAAAGTGAAGGAAAGGAGAGGCAGGGGGAGAGAGGAAATATAGATAGAGCGAGTGAGGCGACAGAGAGGGAAATAAAATGAGGGAGAAAAAGGGCAAAGCTGGACAGAAGGAAGCATAGAGGATCAGTGAAAGGAAGCACAAGCCGACGAGCGTTGAAGGACGATCAACTTACTTACCCAGCCTAAGGCGTGGGTCTTGAATGTTGTGAGTGTAACAAGTGTTACCGGACTTATAGTAGGGTCGGCTTGTTGTTTTCTCTTTCCTCCTTTGAGGTAGATTTGACGGAGAGTGGATCTGGGGTGTTATTTGTTGTTATTTGTTTGTTAACATTCCGAATGGAGAGACTGTAAGTAAGAAGTAGGTGTCACATAGAATAGAATGTCCTCGTAGTAACGAACAGTGTATAGCAAATGACGGGGAGAGGGAAAAGAAGTGAAGACGAAGCCGCAGATACCCATCCGTCATGCTGGATGGACCTGCGGGTCAATACTGGGTAAGTTATGGTGTGTGTTGTGTGTTACGGTACCGCAAAAGTGGTTCTGGCCCGGCTTGTCTGCCTGGCGGCTGGCGTCATCGCATGTGGCTACAAATCGAACTTGAAACTAATGTGCCTCCTTTAGACTAAAGATGGTCCCAGACGGACGGGCCACCAGTCTCGCATTTCCTTTTTGCTGCCCTTTTCTTTTCTTCTTCTTTTTTTTTTCTTCTTAAACTCCGATCCCCTGCCCCTGCTGCTTGAATCTCCCCCAAAAGTCATTCCAATGAGATCGGCATGGATCATAAGAAATAACTGCAGGTCAACTAACGAAGTACGGGGTAATACCCGGGATATTAGTTGTTGCCTGGCTTGCTGCAAGAGATGAAATTGACAATAAATGGGTCGCTAGTAGATAGGACAGGCGAACCGAATTCGCTAGTAATCAAAGAGAAACAGTCCTAATAAAATGACACTATAGTAATATACATAATAAAAAAAAAATAAAAAATAAATAATAGTCATCAGAAAAGAAGCAAGTAACTAAGTAATGGACACCTATGTGGTATTATTGAGTAAAGTATTTACTGTCATTCCCCCCCGTGGACAAGCCCCAACCGGGTCAGTCAGTCAGCCATCCGAGCAACCCATGGATGGCCGGGTGGATTATCCATCCCACTAAAAAAGCACGCCCCCCGCGTAACTGACTCTAGCACTGCCTCCAATCAGCTCATGCCGTGAATCAAAATAAGAAGTCAGTCCTATGGTTGCATCCCACCATCTCGCCAAATATAGAAACGCAGTCCTGCATGTCTTAACTGCGACTGCCACTTCCCAGCCAATTCCACCGGTCGTCCTTTGTTTTTGCCTTTGCTCATCAACCCATTTTTCTCACCCACGAGGTGAGGAGAGGAGACAACGTATCACGCCAAGTGCAGCCTAACCAGTCATCGTACCCGCTGGTCTCTTATCTAGCAACCAGAAGAAAACTTAGACTGACCCTCGTAATGCGAAGTACTAGACTAGATATATCATGGTACGATTGGATGGATGAATGGAGGTGGATGGAGAAAGGAAAGGCGTCGTCGTGTCCCTTGTCCCTTATGGACGGAAGAATGCAAGGCGACAGTCAGAAAGAGGAATGGACCGGGAGTCAATAATCCACTGGCGCACTGCCACAGGCCCGCCGTGCCACACGGCATCAGATGATCTTGGCGGGTAGCTTCACTGAATACTACTAGTAGACTGCTACTTGCATCCTTTAGCAACTAATAGATAGTCCGCTGTGCTCCTTGTTTCCCAACTTGACTTCTCTCACACTATAAATAACCGGAATACCATAAATGTCCACTATTCACTCGAAATGATCGGACTGGATCTCCAGTTGCAGCTCGGCCCAAGCCCATCGAGACAGGAATAGTTCCGAAAGCCTATACCCCTGCTTAGGTCCGAGGCTAAGAATAAGAACCTGTTTAGTTCGAATCTAAAATTATAAGCGGCTGGGATTGCTGCGCTGGTACGTATTGTTAGTCGTTTGTCGGTACCCTGCTATCCGAGCAAAGTAATCAATTAGCAAGGGTCCTTCTCTCTGTGTCTTAGTTAGTGCGTTGCTGGGGACACTGCAGAGCAGCTATCCGCAATTCTAGCCTCACCTAAAGTGGCTGCGGCATTTGCTCTTATCAGACTGGGTTGAACAGAGAGCATCAACTTTATTCATGATGCTGCAGGTTATGTAACCTTAACTCAGGCGGTAAATCAGGATGTGCCCCGTTTATAAGACGCCTACTATTGCTCGCATCCTCTCCCCTCGACCAAAGCCACCGATGATTCGTTGTTGACTGTGGCTGGTCAGCATAACAAGCGATCAAATCATATCTTTTTCTAGAAGCACGTACTTTCATACTTTGAGATGTTCAACAGGGTGTACGCACTCCGTAGTGCAAACCCCAGCCCGCGACCCACCGGCCAGGGTGTTTCCCCTCTTAGTCTGTTAAGGCTGCGGAGCTCTCCAAAGATGATCGCAGGCTTGACGCGCAAACTCCTAGCAGCGATCATTGCTGGTTAAGAGATAATGTCGGCAGCATGACCTCAGCTGTAGGATCCAGCGCGGGAAAGCTTCTCCTACCACGTAGGCATGTCCTGCGTTCGATAATTTTCTTGAAGATCCAACCAGTCTCCTCCGTCCTGTTTCTCCGCTTACGAATTTTACTCGCTTGATCGTCGTTCCCTTGAAGCATTTCATTGGGACACGATTGCAGGATCAGCCTTGCGGTTGTCATGATGCAATCAATCCTAGCTTGTGAGGTATGACGGCTTTTTTCCCCTCGCCTTACGGCAAGCTAAGACTCATTCCTTTTGGAGGAGGGGTGATACGATCGACAGAGTAGGATATAATACTGGAAGAGAGATGATCCTCAAGTCCTAAGCAATCTTCTGCCAGATGAGTCTTGTTGTGTTTCACCTCTGATGGAGTCCCTCTCTGTCTCCACTTGCTTTAGCACACCCCCTACTCTGTGGAGTCAGCTGCAATTGAGTTTCGGCTTGGGGACAAGCTCAGTGATAGGTTTACCCTCGATGACCGTGTATCGCGTGTAGTCATCTTAACTAACTTCGGTTGCTTTATATCAATATATCTACGAGCATATCTCTGACGGCACACAGTACGAGCCCCACTCAGGGGGAGTGGCGCCTGTACCTGACCTTTCGCAGACATCAGACATCCTGCAGGGTCCCTCGAACTGGAATGAACGTCGGAACCCCAAACATTGATTATCAAACGGCGATATTGCTATGCTTCTCATACTGTCAAATATCCGTGCCTGCCAAGACCATAGCTGTCGGCTGTCATGTGCCTTGAAGTGTTCTCATGGGTCAAAGGGTCTTCTGACCTACGGCTTCGTAATATAACCCTGGCGACATGACATGTCTAGGCAAATGCATTTCCACATTCTTCAAATTCATCCCATTTGTACGTTGGCTGGATGCAAATTTCATCGGTCTTCGAGTTTGACACTCCCCGGTATCGGATGTTTAAGGCTACATGAGCCTTCCGCAGAATGTAAATACCAGAAAAACACTTCGTTGTGTTTATCGAGCTAAACCAGTCGAAATTTTGTATTCTAAGAATCGGAGGGGCTAATCTGAGTACCTGGTCATCTTAAGTGTTCTCCCGTATCTGCCATTTGGTCATCTGCCCATCATGTCTCATACCCCGGTGACTCGTGGGTATGGGTCAACTGTGCTGAATATGTTGTAGAGACCATCTTTACTGTAAGTTCATGTCACCTTAGGCATCAAATGTCACCGGGTCCTGGACCGAATCTCGCAGTTAGCTTCGAATACTAGCGTCAGGTCCAGTTTCGTGACTTGGAGATGTTAGCTCTTCGATTCAGCTGTCACTCTTCATGTTCATGTGGATTCGCACAAGCTTCCCTGCTCGCACCTAGTTGCGGATGCTCCTATCAGGGATATCCCGTGATATGAAGGATACTCGGCACAAGTTGTAGGGTGTCATTCGTAAGTACACACTCCACTGACCGGCCGGGACGGTGAGGTTTGTGGGAGTCCATCAATACATTTCTCTAGTACAGTATGACTGTCTGCAAATAATTTTGTTTCATCTGCAAATCTCCAAGAGAAGGTGTACCGGTCTGATTTTTTAAGATGACACAGCTAAAAAGGAAGGAGAGGGGTAGAATATATCAGGTCCTCCACGGCATTCTATGACTATAGCATTCCTATAGTTTGGTAAGCTGGCACTGATATTAACCAGATCAAAAGCAACCTTGTACATCATCTCAGATTGATGGCACTATTGGGGCTAAGTGATGGGCAGAATGTGTCTTTCCCTACCATCAATGCAAGTTTCTGGTTTTCACTGGGCCCTTTCATTCACCACGCGTGCCAGAACTTGCTTCTACTCCCATTCACTCCCCTCTCGCTTACTCTGTGTTGGCTTGTATACTTCCTACTCAATTCTCCTTTCTCTTCCCTTGTGAATCCTTCTGAGACCAACTTTTGAGATTCCACAATCGCGTCTTCATCCCTCCCAGCATACCTGAGGTCTGTGAATACTTTCAGAAAGCACCCCCCCCCCCCTGGTCTGCGGGGTAGGTTGCCAGAGGATTGGAAAGTTCGCAGCACCTTCGACAATAACAGGTAGCCTCTTGGTGTGTTATTCTGCCTTCTTTTTATAGTCTCTCCCAAGTTTAAATCTAACCAACGCAGAATATAAGGTCAAATCTGGTATGTCTTGATCGGACTGTCGCCATGGATATTACCTGTTCTTCTCCGTTTGTCTCTGCATTGATTCAGGAGATGGTCGTCGAGCCGATCGACATCGTACTTGATGAGCCCACCGACACCTGCGCGATGGTGGAAGAGAAAGCCGAGGAGATCATCGAGGCCGAGAATGAGAGCCTTGACCAACTGATGATAGAGTTTACCAGAGGGTTTGATCCTGGAAGCTTTGTTGATGAGGTCTCTAACTCACTCCCTCGTATTCTCAAAGATATCTTCCCAGGTTCCTATGAGCATCTTCTGAGCATGCTGTTTGAAAGCGACGACAAAATGCACGCCACCCAGATGAAGCTAGAGGAATGGCTTCTGAAAAGATACCCTCAGATTCTCAACAAGATCGATACCGAACGCCAAGAGACGAACATAACCGATGAGACGTATTTTGGGGCTGAAATAGAGGTCTTAAGAAAGATGGTAGCATTCTTGCGCAAGGAATCTGATAAACCAGTCTTCTGGCTCAATGCTCGGCGTGCAAGTCCTATCAAAGCTCGTGAGCAGCTTGAAGCATCTATCCGGGTCATCGAATTGTTCAAAAGCGATGTCATGATTGCGATGAAAATGGACACGGAGGATAGTGAGTGGCAATTTCAACTTGAAACTCTAAGAATCCCAGCAGCCTAACGTAGCATAGGAAAAATCTACAATCCTCTCCCCGTCTCCACAGAATGCACCGCTCTACTGAGTATCAAACAACTTCGGATCGACGCATGCAAGGCATCACTTTCTTGGGAAGGCTATATGGACTCTGCTATCGTGTTCACCTCTTTCTTCCATGCCTACAAGGCTTATACCTGCGTGCACAAGCCAGACAAAGCCCGTGCATGGGGCTGGCTCCCACCACAGGGACTTGCACCTCCACGCTTGTCTGCAGAGATAGCCCAGGTAGGCGATTTGGTAAAATGGGACTTTGAGCATGAAAACGGCGCATTCGATCTGCTACTCAAGACGGCCCTTTGGCTAGGTATGGCGAGAGGTCTCCCAGCTGTGCATTTATTCTGTGACGTCGCTCGACTTTTCACGACGCACAAGCCCTCCCCAACGGCAAACGAGCCATATATCCGATTTCTGCGGCATCTGGCCCAAACAAGAGTCTCCATTGCCGGAATCAAGTCCACTCCGCCCACGCCTGTTCCATTCAAGGGGTCTGACGAAAATACCAACCGTGGTTACTTCGAAGACGTATTCGATTCAGACAAGATCTTGGAGAAGGACCTAACCAAGACCCTTTCGTTGCTCGCCATGAATACCAATGACTTCAAGCTATCTGCCACGCCTCCAAAATACTCGTTTCGCAAGAAGGCGAAGATGATCGAGCAGGCTTGTGTTGTGGAAGAAAATCACACGGAGAAGTGGTCTCAGAAAGATCCGGCAAGTCAAGGAAATTCCTTTGATAGGTCATTTTGTATCCCTTTGCTAACATCGTGTCCTCCTAGCACCCTGTGAAACCTCCTTCTCCAATTCCTGAGGAACCTGAACCGGCCTCACCCCCGCGGGAGACCGAACCTGACTTTCTTGATCAAATCGAATACGTCTCAGTCTGTCCTTGGTGATTGAATATCTTGAGCTTCCAGGATTTACGAGGCATATCAGAACAGCTTCACCCATATGTCAGCTGCGATTTGAACAACATACTTTACGAACGTCTCTGATTGATCTCAAGATGAACAAAACGAAAAAGAATCTCTCCACTCTGTCGAAAGCAAGAAGGTATGCCAACCCAAGCTCACCCCATTGATTGGCGATTGTGAGCCGTACTTCAGGAAAATTACAAAGCCCCTCGCTCAGTTGTTACAATTTCCCTTCTATTTCCTTCAGTTGCCATCCCAGTCTCCAGGGTGCACCAGTTTCGACACTATGACACTCACCGTACGCCCATGTCATTGCCAAACCGCTCTAAATCTGGTAGTCAAGAGCAGTCGGCGAAGACTGTGGGCCGGAGAAGCTGACATTACCGTCGAAACAGGAGCCAATCCAGGATCGATCTAGGAAGATGCAAACTCGCTATTACTTCTTCAACCTCACTCTTATGTATTAGGCAAAATGACAGAAACAAAAAAGAAAAGTCATCTCATCTCACCTCACCGCACAGTGGTCCGACCCTAACCAGGGGAAAAGACCATGAAGTTCATTTGTTGACGTTTTCCTCAATTCACACACTATTCACACCACTCACCTTCTGTATGTGCAGACGTAAGCTGACTTTACTATCTACAGGGCAACCCTCTTTTTCTTCCTCCTCGTGGAATCGCCGCGGCAACCGTGCAACGTTTGTGAAAAGCGTTCGATGACATCGTCCAGGACCCGCCTCTCTATTGTTCTTGTTCGTGATTGTATTACTTTGATTTATTCTATTCATTGCCTTGCTGGTTCAAGGTGCTTGCACGCATTCACTGTTATGTATACTACTGACTACTCTTTTCTTCCTTGGCTTCCTACTTGCAAATATCCTCTCTTGTCACGATGATGCCGCTTCGCTGGCTGGCTGGTTGACTATACATGATGTTGACGACACTGATGATCTTGCATGGAATGCGTTCCTCTGGCTTGCATTTTCCTTGTCTATTACGCATGTGGCAACTGGATGCTGCGCATCTTTGGGGCCGGATGGTGTGGGAAACATGTTGCATTTCGCATTTTAACTCATCTAGAGACACTACCTAGCTAGAAGCTCGATTGATCATTCGAGACAAAATCATTAATAGGGAGAAGGGTAGGAGTCAAAGAGAGAGGGAAAGAGAGATAAAAACAAAAATAGACGCTAGAGACGATTCATTATGTCTACTGTTAAGTATCTTTTGATCATGAATCAACGTTATGTAGCCCGAAATCGTGTCAAACAAATGTAAGGAGACCAGACAAGATAAGGTAGTAAGAAGAGAGTTTTCCCTATGAATCCGCCATATTATACGCCAACAAAGGATCAATCATCGCCATATCATCAGCACTGGGTATCTTAGAAGAAGAAGAAGCAGCAGAAGGAGGAAGAACATCGACATCGCCATCTTGAATCATAGCATCAGCAAAGTTGCTGGGGAATTCGCCGGGGTTATTTTCATTAGTTGTAGGGTCACTACCATTGCCCATTGTATACAGACCAGATTTTGAATCCGCATGCAAGACATACGGTTCATACGGGGCGGAGGAGTCATCGTTATCGAATTCGAGTCCATATATACCAAACATGTCGCCGGTCACGGGCTCATTGCTGTCCGCCAAAAGCGCGCGCTGCATGAACATATCGCGGATCTCGTCCTCGGTGCATCCGTGCTTACTGCCCATATGGACCCACAGATCGTAGTTCCGGTGGAACCGGTGCGGACAGCCTTCGATGAAGCAGGTGATCTGTCGGCCGGTTTCTTCGGCATAACCCTCACCTGTGAGAGCGGCCAATGCGGACGGACCGGTTTGGTGAGAGTCCGGTGTCTTGTTCAGACCTAGACGCTGTCGGCGCTCGGCTTTTGCGTTGGGGAAGCCGAGATGTGCGGTGCGAATGTGCTCCTCCAGGGCGAGTTTACTTCCGTAGCGCTTTCCGCAGCCGTCGGCGCCTGTCCAGCCGACGACTCGTTTGGACATGGACAGGTCGGTCTCGCCGCAGACGAAGCGCTTTTCGCCTTGGTGGACGGTGCGGATGTGCACGGTTAGGTTGCCCTTCTTGGTGAAGCTGCTGTCGCAACCGGGTATGGTGCAGGGGAAGACTTTTCGCTCTTCTAGACTCACGTTGCCGTGGCTGACTTCCAGATGACGGCGGAGCTCTCGGGCTGTGGAACAGGTCAGGTTGCAATTGGGACATTGTGGAGGGTGGACGGTTCGGATGTGAGCTTGAAGGAGGGTGTAGGTCGGGAATGTTGATGTGGTGGGAGCGGGAGTCTCGAATGATGATGATGGGTTGGCTTGTTCGGCCTGCTGAGTACACTCCGTGCAGGTGAATCGTTTCTCGGTGTGGATGCGACTTTCATGAGCTCGAAGGTGTCCTGCGGTGTCAAATGCCATTGGGCATTTCTGGCCGGTAGTCGGGTCGATGTGCGGGCAAGAGAAGGGTTTCTGTTTCAAATGCACGCTTATGATGTGTTTTTGGAGCGTCGAGTGTTTCCGGAAGGTCTCATCGCAGGGTGGAAACTCTGTGCAGCGGTACTTGTCTCTGCCATCATGAGCAGCTATGTGTCGACGAAGTCGTGAGCCAGTTACGAAGCTCTTCCCACATCCGGGACGATCGCATACGTAGTCTCTGATTCCGGTATGGGCGCTTTTGATGTGATGGCTCAGATGCGAAGCTCGAAGAAACGTCTTATCGCAATCGTCGTGGGTACAGCGGAACAGTCGTTCATTGTTGTGTGAGCGCAGGTGTTCCTGTAGTCGTGCTGGACGGTTGAAGGCCTTCGTGCAACCGTCGAAAGGGCAGCGGTGAGTTTTCAGCTCTGAAGGATATCTAGCGGAGATAGTCGACATCGGAGTAGCTGGTGTCTCGTGAAGACTACCGCTAGCGACACTGGAGTCATCCGAAAAGTCATACTCGGGGTCCGAGTGTATTTCTTCATATATTGGGTCTGGGGAATATGGAAGATATTTAGTATCAGACGGAATCTAGACTCGGCCTCTGGGCATATCTTACCGACATCGTCCAGCGTTGTCCGGCTTTGTAGCCGCTTCGCGTTGGGGAGATCCCCCGAGGCTTTTCGCTTCTGAGCCATAGCTCCGCGGCCCTCTAGACCATCCAAGCCTGATGAATGAGCACTGGACTGGCGACAGGAAGGAAAGAAAAATCAAGATGAAAGTGATGGCTGCACGACGACATCCAGAAATTTTGCCGAGGCGGTGAACAGTGGCACCCAAAGGAGTCTAGCGCCGGACGAGCAACAGGAACTTTTTCCGGGTTCTGAGAGTCGCGACTTCGATTTCTTCACGAGGAAGAAAAGCCCGTCGCAACAGTTCATCGTCTCGTCCCCAACCCGGCCCGGTCGCGGTGCTGTCATTGTTTTCGTTACTGCCATATTCGATTGGTGTTTCGTCCCAATCTTGCCCTACTTAATCCGCCACCATGTCTGACTACGGAGATCACGACGCTGAGGAAACGTAAGAGACCGGCGCCCCATGAGAGCTTGCGCAGGCCAATTCTGCGCGTCTGCGTTGCCTGTCGATAGTCGTCATGTCTGCTAGGTGAAAGTTTCGATGTTCTGACTAGGATTGTCTTACAGTTACGACTACGAGCCGGAGCAGGAGTACGATGACAACGAGCCCGAAGATTTCCTAAACCCCGAGGATGTCGATGTCGCAGAAGGAGGCGCCGATGAATATGGCGAAGGCTCATACGCGCCTGCTGTCAACGGAAACCACATTGTCGCTTCAGGCGACCCGAATGCGGGGTATGCGGGCAAGGTCATGGAGCAGACGCGGGAGAAGAAGGTCCCGAACGACCAGCGTCAGACAACTCCATACATGACCAAGTACGAGCGCGCGCGTGTCCTGGGTACTCGGGCCCTGCAGATCAGGTTCGTCACGGCAATCGATGCGGCATCAAGGATGGGTTGAGAAGCGCAATTGGATGCTGACTATGTCTCTAGTATGAACGCCCCGGTGCTCGTCGATCTTGAGGGCGAGACGGATCCTCTACAGATCGCCATCAAGGAGTTGAACCAGAAGAAGATCCCACTGATTGTACGGAGATATCTTCCCGACGGATGGTAAGCGGGCCTTCTCCATGTGAGTTTGACAATTTGACGTATTCGATCTAATCATTATTTTTGTGATACAGGTACGAGGACTGGACTTGCGAAGAATTACTCTAGACGTGGAGACGACAGGTGGTTGTATTTTTTCCAAATGGCTTCTTGGTACTTTATTGTGTATGTGTTTGGTCTAAGGATCTTTCCCTCTGGGCAGCATAGCGTTTGGAGTTTCGGAGTAGGGTAGCGGGCCATACTGGCCTAGGCAGCCACTGGGACACTGGGAAGACAAAGAAAACTCAAAAGAATAACGCACTGCAGTCTATATATTAGTAAAATTCAAAAAAGTTTGATGTTGACTGCTTTCGTTTGGCATAATCTAGGCCTTTTTGTTCGCAATCTACTGCTATCTAGAGGCAATGGCGTCTTCACAACTGAGCCAGGCAGAGCGCTTCACAGAAGTAAACTCAGATGTAAAACCAACATTGACGGCCCGAGGTCTGTTTTCAGGTCCTGAGCCGGATGATGACCCCAATTTGGAGATGTATGAAGTAGCAGGCAGGGTAGTTTTTGACTGGCACTGTAGCAGATGGATACTTTGGGGCTCTGATGCAACTGCAAGTATGGCGTCAACTCCTCACATGGCATTGTTCCCACATTCCCGGTAGATAGGCGCGAGCATTCCTTTTCTGAGATATGACATGCTTCAGATGCTCACGTCAAGCTGCGACGAGTCTAGGAAATGATGGCCTTTCCTCTATCTTTTCCATTCTTATCGACCACGTCATAAAATCGTCTGACCCATCAAATGCTTTGACATCCTTGCCCTTAACAGCCTCCACTGAACACGTAGGAGTCGTAAAAGAGATGTTGAGTTCAATGTGTTGCTCATGAAAACTAGCGAAGAGTCACCAGTGAGTGGATCTAGGCGACACAAATGCCTCATTCGGAGTATAATTTGGACGAGTAGGATTGATTTGATTCATTGACTTTGCCGTACGGACTTCGGTCCGCGCTTCTCTGACCGCCAGTGAATAGACTGAAACAGCCGAGTCGGAGAGCACAATTCGAACGTCGTGGCTTGTCTCGCATTGCCGAACTGCACGGAAAACACTAATGCAAGATGACATGCCGTGATTGGCGGCATGTGGTCAGCCCATTAGGTATTGAGGGACACAACTTCTCCTCTCTTCTGCTCAGTTTCAAGTCATGGATAGCCTGGTTTGAATCCTCCTCATACTTTGTCGAGTCGGTCAGCCACCTTTTCTTGCACAATCACAGGCTGTAGTCTATGTATCAAGCAAATCAGCAAGTGCTCACCGATCCGTGGTTTGGTCACCTTTTTTTTCTGCCAGCCGATCTTCATCGGCGATGAGACCGTCTTGTTTCGGGAAACAAACTCGGAGCGAAGACCGATATCTCCGAAGAATTTCAATCCCGCATTTTCTGGCTTACGAATAAGCGCCTTGAAGGTCTCGAATTAAGCATCCTTCTTATTGCTGTTAATAGTTTTTGGTGGGTCAGTTCAGCGTGCAGTAAGCCCTGCTATCGCTATGTTCTCTGTCGCCAATTACACTGTTCGTTCTAGGAGGATCGGGCTCAAGATGGACGGACCGTTCCTTGACCTGTCAAGCCTGGACAATGTGATTCATTCTTGTGTCTCAAGAATTCAAGCCAGCGTCGCATTCGCCAAGAATAAGTAGGTCAACGGATCAGGTACAGGATGGACTACAAAGAAGTGATATGCAGTTCGGCCCCCGCCTGGATAAATCGGCACGCTGTCATCCTCCCAAACACACTAAAAGTCCACTATCTGCAGTCATCCTCCAATCGTGCTTATGCAGAGCATACCTTCAATAACCGCAGTTGTGAAGCGCAGGGCGTACCCTTTCCTTCCCCAATTACCCATGCTCGTGTTCTAACTTCTCCAACTTCTCCCCGACAACACATCAAAGACATGTTCCTGGGGAAAGAATGGGCTCTGTGGCTCCGTCCCTCGGCAAGTGACTCCATCGCTTACCCGGAACCCGCTCATTGCTGGTCCAGTAGGCTCTCTTCCCACGATGGGGCATCAGCCAGAGCCTGGTTCCCTTGACTGTCTCCATTCCCACTCCCAGGGGATCAGTCAACATGAATGGCCACCGACGAGTGGATCCTCTTACTCAGTCTTGGTTGAGTCTGCTTTTCTAGCTCCCAAGCTTAGTCTTAGCCGGGGCTTGGAGGCACTACCTTAATAAATTTTTACTGTGTGCCGCTATGATTCATTTCTAATCACAGTATATAGTGTGAGCCTGACCTCCACCTAGGGTCGCCCTCCTCTCTGCTCCCAGTCCCCCGGTCCTGAGAAATATATCCATACGTGGTGACTTAAGCTCTCTGTGAGTGCTGTTAGGGCTGTATTTACGTTGACTGCTACGGGGGTTTATCTGATCCGCTGTCTGTTTCGCCCTCCAACCCTTACCTTTATCCGTCCACTCCACCAGACGGTCCGTCTGATCGCTTATTATCGGGGTGGAAAATGGGGACCAATGCTGATTACGACGAGAAGGCTGTTGCGGGATCCCTTACTGCAAACAACAATGGCGACTGCCATGAACTTCCTACTCCGTCAGAGGAGAAACCCTCAGAGGAACCGATATACGATACCGGCTTTAAGTCATGGATCCAAGTGCTAGGCTCTTTCTTCCTTTTCTTCAACTCATGGTATGCGAAACCCTCTACTCTGGTACCATTCAAGGCATCGACTGACCAAGGATGACGGTCAGGGGTGTCATTAACACCTGGGGTGCTTTCCAAACGTATTATGAGCAGGACTTGTTGTCGGACATGTCATCGTCCAACATCGCCTGGATTGGCTCACTCCAAGCTTTCCTGCTCATGCTTTTTGGTGTGGTGACAGGACCTCTCTTCGATGCTGGCTATTTCCGTGCTCTGCTCACGTTTGGAAGCATCATGCTTCCCTTTGGGTTGATGATGACCAGTCTTGCTACCAAGTTCTGGCAGCTGATCCTGGCCCAAGGTATCGTTATTGGTCTGTCTGCCGGATGTCTGTTCGTCCCATCCGTCGCCATTCTGCCTCAGTACTTCAAGAAGAGACGCGGTCTGGCCAACGGTCTTGCCGCTTCAGGCAGCAGTATCGGAGGTGTGATCTACCCGATCATGTTTGACCAGCTGCAGCACAAGGTCGGCTTTCCCTGGGCGACGAGAGCTATCGGCTTCCTCTGTTTCGGGACCTGCTGCATCTCATACAGCATCATGCGTATGCGCTTCCAGCCGACAGAGAAGCGCAAGCTGGTCCAGTTGGCTGCCTTCAAGGAGCCACATTTCGTGATGTTTTGCATTGGCATGTTCCTGGGTTTCCTTGGATTCTACAACTTCCTCTTCTATATCCAATCCTATGCCATCGACACGGGTATCGTTGGTTCCACCCTCGGATTCTATCTGCTCTCCATGCTGAATGCGGGGTCCACCATCGGACGTATCTGTCCGAACTTCATCGCAGACCACACGGGTCCCCTGAACGTCCTCACTCCTGCAGCTACCGCTACCGCCATTCTCGCTTTCGCTTGGATCGGAGTCCACAATGCGCCAGGTATCATTGTTCTCTCAGTGCTGTATGGTCTCTGCTCCGGTGGGTTCGTGTCACTTCCGCCGGTCGTGATGGTGACTCTGACCAAGGACATCCGTGACCTGGGCACTCGTCTAGGCATGGTGTTCGCAATCACCTCTGTTGGACTGCTGATCGGTACACCTATCGGCGGAGCCATCTTGAGCAACTCGGGCAGCTACCTGGGAGTGCAGCTCTTCACAGCCTGCTGTCTCATCACGTCTGCCTCCGTCTTTGCCGCGCTGAGATTCTCTCGCTCGAATATGAGACTGATCGCGCGTGTGTGAGCGCGGCCTGACAACACACCAACTCCTATTCCCATTTCAATCAACTACGCCGCGACTGCCTCAACTCACCTCCATGAGAGCCGATACCTTAATACCTGATGACCCAGAAGAGTTGCATATTCCATCCAAGCATTTGCATTTGCATCATGCATCATTGGAGAACCGGTGTTTTTTTGGGATGATAAAAGTTTGATATTTTGATTACGATAGATAAGATTCAAGAACTAGATTAGAACATATTGCTTAATGTATTACGATTCAAATTGATTGATTTAATATAATGCACAGCATAGATACCATTTCAAGCCTGTATTGTTTCAATGAGTTCTAGTCTCATTAGACTTCTATTCAAGCCGTCCTTAGTCCACTCAGCATGCATGGCATGACACGTCCGTTCATCAACCCCAGAACAGAAACAATAATAGTAACGGAAACGCCCAAACACCAAATGCTAGAAACCAACCAACCGACAAACCACTTTTCTCTTATGCTATTCATCAACCCTCGTTGTCGTCTTCACACCATCGTATGTATATATACCTAGACCCGTCCGATCCATCCATCCATCATCATCACCTCCCGAACGAAGCGTCCTACGAAACATGAATCGGATCCACCAAGAACTCCTCCCCATTCTCCCGGATATGCTGGAGTTTCTTATCGCGACTGCACGGTTTGCGCATATCAAAGGCATCTTCACCTGAATCCGAGAAACCTGTTGGATCGTCGCTGTAGTAGTTTACTACTCGGCGGAAGACGGAGTATCTGCATTTATTCCCATTGATTAGCATCATGAAACAAAGGAAGATTGACAACAACAGCCCAAAAAGGGAACTGGATAAAAGAAGAAGAGTAGTAAAGGAGAAAAGAGGGTATAAACTCACCCCATGCCCTTATACATCCCCACGGCAACTTTATTCCCCGCTCGTACATAGAGATCGACAAACCAGGCATCGTTGATATCGGAGCCCTGTTCCAGACGTTCGGTGAGACGACGCGCGTGGCCGAGACGGCGCCATGCGGGCGCAACGGTTAAAACGGTAATGTGGCCGTGCCAGGGCGTGTAGTGTTCGGAATGGCGCATCGAGGCGGGTTGTTCTTCGAGCTTGCCCATGACTGATGACGCGCATTAGTTGTGATTACTACAACTCGAAGGGTGGTGGGAAAGAAACTCACTGTAACCCACGATGCCTTCCTGGCGATCCTGAACGCTGCTAAAGAGGGAGGGCCATCGCATGAGGTAATTGAGGTAGAATCCGAGGTCGTAGTTTTCGGTCAACGGGTCAAGGTTGGTGAGGTTGAGGGACAGGAGGTCCGTTGGGGACATGCGCCGGATGGAGCTCATTGTTGGTGTGTGTTTATTCCTTGGGGGAGGGAAGGTTGAGCGGTGGTTCTCAAGAAGATAGTTTAATAGATGGAGGGGAAAGATGAAGCAATTTGGGGAGTTGATCGGCGAGTCAATCGGGGCTTGGGCGGTCACGGGGAGGAGATCTTTTTGAGGGTCGGGCTTCTTTCTCCCTCTCCTTCTGTGCCCCCCTCATTAGTTATTATTATTATTGTTCCTCTCTCCTTCTCTCTCTCTTTCTCTCCCCGGCTCATTCTCTATTTTATTCGACTCTTTCGTTCTCGGGATAGCCGGTCTCGACTTCTTCGTTCCTTTACTCTTTTCCCTCTTTCCCTCCCGTCCTTTTCAACTGGCTGCGTGGAAAAGCATCCTGGTGATGCGGTCGGCGATCCACCATTGACTTCCGTTCCCCTGTTCGTTATTTACTTCGCGGCAGCCACTTACGATTTGCAAAGAATCTACAACAAACAACCCCTGTTTCCCTTGTTTAGACCGTCGAAGGTCTCACGTCAAACTATCTCCTTGACCCTTCAACGCCTACACCGCATTCTCGTCTTTCTCTCTCTTCCCCTCCTTTAATCCTGCAACATGCCGTCCATCCCACCTCCCCTGACTATATCTCACCGCCATACTCGGAGTCGCTCCTCCAACATCGACATCGACCCCATTTCTCCTGGTACCTACGCTCCCAACGGCTTTTCCTACCGGTCGCCTCGGTCGCCTCATACGCCTCGTTCATCCATCCCCTCTTCTCCGGTGGACGTCCGTCCTCACCACACTCAATCATTCAATGGCTCCCATAGAATGTCGGGCGACTTCGGCGGTGCTGCCAACGAAGGCGGCGGACTAGGAAACCTGGCCGATGAGCTCGCGGATGCATGGGAGGAGGAAGAAGGTGGTTACGGATACACGTCGGGCCAGGATGCCGGGGCCCCTGACGCACAGTATGTGGATCGCAGTGACGATGAAGATGCATACCACCGCATGGACACCGGGGCCCGCACACCCTCATCGGGCTACTCGTCGGAACGGAATTCTTCTCTGCAGCCTCCGAAGCCCAAGACCCGTAATGGTGCCCATCGACACCGGCGGCACGAGTCGCAATATGATGGGTCCGATTATGGAAACGATTCGGATTTCGAGGAAGCGGATATGCCGCCTAGCCTGGAGATGCAGATGGCGGAGATTGAGAGTCTGGCTCGTCGCGGACTAGAGAACAATGGCAGTGAGAATGACTTTGTGATTCAACGGGCGGTGGAAGCTCTCCGGGATCTTGGCGGGCAAAGTGGGATTGAAAACAATGCCATGAGGTAGGTGGATCTGTTGTTGTCTGTGACTTGGCAGGGTGTCTTGGTCTGCTCGGAATAATGACTGACTAACACAACTTTCGAAATCTAGACTCATCACTGCACACTCGTCCATCACCTCACATCTTACCCATCAGACGCGGGCACTTCAGACCCTCACCCACCCTCTCCTTTTCTCGCCATTCCCGCTCCTTTCCTCAGATGCTATAGATGCGCTCATTCCTCTCATCGACGAAGAACTCCTGCCTAACCTCCCCTATCCTTTCCCGGAACAGCCACGTCACTCCTCAAGACCCACTACCCCCTCCCAGTCACCGGCCCTGAACCCTCTCGTCTCCCTGCAGACCCTTGTGTCGCAGACATCCGACATCACCCTGTCGCTCCGGGGCCTGAGCGATACGCTGTATGAGTCGCGCCAGCTTACGTCCACGGCATCGCGACGACTCCGGTCTGCTCGCGAACTTGTAGCCGACCTCCGCCGTGAGGAAGAAGGCGTCGAGGAGGGGACCCGGTGGATCGAACGAGGTGACTGGGACCGCCGACTCCGGGATCGCGAAGCCGGCCGAGTCTGCGGAGACGTAGTCAGTGGCTTCGAGGCGGTGTGCGGTGAATGGCGAGAGAAGCTCTTCGGGGCAGCCGCTGGAGCCGAAGTGGCTGCTGCTTGAGATGATGACTATTTCTTTAAGGTAAAAGGGGAGGGATAATGGATATAGACAAGGACGGATGCTACCAGTTTCTTCTTCTTCTCACGGGATAAATTTTTTTTTGTCTTCTCTTTTTTTGCCCTTGACATCCCAGACATATTGTCTCGAGTACTACTGCCAGAGATAGCGGCCATACCCCCTTTTGCAAATTTCCTTTCTAGTATATAGATTATTCATCTGGCTTCGTCCATCCATCCATACATCCATACATCCATCCATCTGTTTATTTTCACCCACCTGCATATTCCACAGTTGCTATGCATTCATTCATTCCACCAGATTTAAGCAAAGTATGACCTTGTTCAGTTTGTCCTGTCAGAATCTCTCACTGATATCCGAATATCCATGACCCACACATCCAAAACCTCCAATTGATTCCCAATTTGACACCATAGAAGTACATACATACATTCAATGCATAGACCACTTTCCCGGTATATTACTCAATATAAGGTATCAAGTCTAAATAAATCCCACAATAACTGATCCATTCAATACTCTACACTTCCCCCCTTATTTTTCATACCCTATTTGACAGTAGGCACTAGCAGTACTCAATCGTAACGAAATTCAAACCCTAGCCTAACGAGTGAGTCCCTGAGAAAATCTGTCACAGGTACAGTTTCACCAAATGCTTGGTCTGTTTCAGGTATTGTATTGGTGACAAGACAGAAACTTCCTAGTTTCCTATTTCCTTGTATTGAGATTAGGCTAGAGACAGAGCAACTGGGGACCAAAAGGAAATAATAAAAATAAAAATGAAAATAAAAAGGAAAAAAGCAGATGATGGAAGACATATAGCAAGAATAAGTAGACATGATACTTAGGTAGTAGGACAGTTACTTTCTTTGCACTTGATGGGTTTGAACCGAATCATATTTGGTGGTGCATGATACCGGTGGTTTCATGCCGATCACAGTCGAATCTACTTTTTTGTGTAATGTGAGATATAGATACACTACGAGTCAAGGATAGTGGTTAAGGAACGAAAGAAAACACTATGCATTTGGTAAAAAAGACCATGAGATCGGGTAATGTAGGAAAAAATCAATCAATCAATTGACATGGCATGCCCAGAAAAAGAAAAATTAAATCAAGCAGTTGGCGGTTGGGGGGAGGCAAAGAGCTTTAACTACAACCTCATGGTGTGAAGAACCCCCGATATCTATCTCTCTCTCACACACCTCGCAAAGGTTCATACCTCATCAACTAAAAGAACTAAAAGACGTAGTAGGAACAGTATGGAGGTAGAAAAAAAGAAGAATCGTACCGGGTTTGAGGCTAAGGAAGGAGACAAAAAAGGTACTATGCGAACATGAAGATGGGGAGGCGGGGCGGAAAAGTGTTTGTAGGTGGATGAGAGTTGTGTGTTTATACAACACAAGGATGAAAGAGAGAGAGAAAAAAGAGAAAAGAGGAAGGTTGACTCATATCACACGCCCTTTCATCAAACATCCAAAGAACTTTTTCATGTCATCATGCGATTTACTGGCCACCCTGCTGCTGCTTCCATCTGGGCACCCACTTGCCAGCGGCAGGCTTGGACTCCTCGGTCTTGTCGGAGCTGGAGCCGGGGGTCTGCGTGCGGGAGGGGGGCTGGGAAGAGCCGGCCTCACGCATGGCACGGGGAACGTAGCGCTCCGTGGAAGGAGCAGGAGCAGCACGCTCAGGAGCAGCAGGGGTAGCACTGGCACCCGAGCGCAGGTGAGGAGGCACGTAGCCTCTGCGCACGGGAGCGGGCTCCTCGCGGGCAGGCTCGGGAGCAGCACGCTCAGGAGCAGCAGCAGGAGCGCCACCAGTAGCCTCCTTGGCAGCCTGGCGCTCTCTCCAGCTGGGACCACCACCAGTGCGAGGAGCCAGGTTGAGACGAGGAGCAATGCGTTCCGTAGGAGCAGCACGCTCAGGAGCCGGCACAGCCTCGCGCTCAACACCACCGGTCCGGCGAGCGGCACGGCGAGCTTCGGCTTCCTCTTCACGCTGCTTCTGCTTGATAGCAAGTTCATCGAGTCTCCTGTAAGGCGGGTTAGCAATTAGTGGTCTCTGACGAATTGGGCGACGGGGGATTTCAATGGGAGGATACTGACTTTCTCTCTTCCTCACGCTTGGCCTTCTCCTCAGCCAGGACACGGCGGCGCTCCTCCTCCTTGGCGGTTCTCTCCTCCTCCTCGCGACGAATGCGCTCCTCCTCTTCCTTGCGGCGGCGCTCTTCTTCCTCACGCTCGGCCCGCTCACGGCGTCTGCGCTCCTGGACCTCCTTGATACGCTGCTTCTTCTTGGCCTCGAAGTCGCGCTCAGCAGCCTTGCGGCGCTTCTCGAACTCTTCGTGGCGCTTCTCGGACACCTCCTTGCGGAAGCTGTTGAACTGGGGCACCAGGCGGCTGAGACGGTGCTTGAGGGCAACGGCCTCCTTGTGCTTGTCCTCAGCCTCCTTGAGGGCCTCGGCCTTGGTGGCCTCGTAGATCTCCATGTCGCGCTGCTTCTGCTTCTCGTAGTCCTCGGGGATGTGCTTCAGTTCCTCACGACGGAAGGCACGCTCCAGGTGGTCAATGCGCTTGGCGGTGGTGCGGATGCGGTCGTTGAGCTCGTTCTTCTCCTTCTCCAGCTGAGCCAGCTTCATGGCACGGAGGCGGTTGGCATCGAGCTCGTTCAGGTCAAGCTCGCTGATGTCAATGCCCTTAACACCAGTCTTGAGCTCCTCCAGCTGCTTCTTCAGCTCCTGCTGGCGGATGCGGTCCTGCTCATCCTTGATGCGCTTCTTCTCACGCTCGCGGTGCTCATCCAACAGACGCTGCTTCTCGGCTTCCTGAAGCTGCTGGGTGCGGATGCGCTTGCGAGTCTCCTCCTCGCGCTGCTTGCGCTGCAGAGCATCGGTGGCGGCCTCCTTCTTCTTCTCAATGACGACGCGGCGAGCCAGAGTCTCCTCGTGCTCCTTGGCGGCACCAGCCTCGGCGCGAGCAAGGGCGGCACGCTTGGCCTGCAGGCGGGCCTCGGTGTACGAGGGGTCGACGTACATGCAGGTCACATGCAGGGTCTTGGCCAGGCGGGTGAGCTGCAGGCGGGCAATCTCAGCGGGGGTGTTCTGCAGGCGCTGGACGGAGCCAACCTCGCTCTCGGCGGAGCCGGCGGCGCTGCCAGGGTGCAGAGCCTTGGCGGAAGAGAAGACGTCGGTGTCGAAGGTGAGGACACCGGAGATGTGGTCGACACGGATGGCGAGGTCGCCCTTCTTGCAGCCGTTCATGATGAACTTCTCGATCATGGAGGGGGTGATCTGGAAGGGGTCGGGGAACTGAGCCAGCTCGTAGACGAACTTGAGCTCGACGGACTCGTAGACCTGAGACAGCTGCTGGAAGAGACGGGTCAGGATGACCTGCTGCAGAGGCAGGACGTACTTCTCCATCTCAGGGTCGGCACCGATCTGCTTGAGGATGGGGGTGATCTTCTTGCAGATGGACAGGGGGTGGAAGTCCACCTCGAGGATGTTGTAGAGGTCACGGATCTCGGGGCGGGCGCGCTTGAGCAGGCCCTTGTTGAGGGCATCCTTGAACAGCACCGCACGAGTGGGGGGAGAGGCCATACCAAGCAGGTTGGTGAGACGGGTGTTCTTGTTCTTGCGGACCTCATCCACATCGACCAGGGCACCGCGGGAGCGGGAAGTGCTGATGACGGGGATGGAGAGGGCGGACAGCAGGACAAAGGAGGCGGCCTTGGTCATGTCGGCCTCAGTGACGGAGGGGTTCTCCTTCTTGGTACCCTGGCCAGCAGCCAGAGTGGCGGCGGACTGGCGGAGAAGGTTGTAGTAACGGCTGAAGGCCGCGGCGTGGAAGAGGTAGTTCTCGCTGACCAGGAAGATACGGGCCAGCTTCTCGTAGTAGTTGGCCATCATGACGTTCTTGGCGGGACGCTTGCTGAGGCTGAGGAGGGTGTGGATGTCCTCAATGCTGCGGAAGGCCTCCTGCCACAGCTCCAGCTCGACGGCAACGTTCAGCTGCTGGAAACGGGTGTCCAGGTGGCGCTGGAGGGTATCCGGGTCGCTGAGGTTGATGGCGTGCATCTGAGCGGAGTACTTGGCGGCATTCTGGACGTGGTTACGGAGCAGCTCGCACAGACGGCGGAACTCGGTCTTGCGGGTGTACTTGAGACAGAACTGGAAGGCCTGCAGGGCGGTGGTCTGGTACATAACCTCAAGGCGGGCATTGTTCTTGAGGATTTCGAGCACGGTGCGGTAGGTCTCCCAGAGGAACTTGAGCCAGGGAGTGACAACAGCACGGTCCGTGCGGTCGCGGGACTGCTCACCGGAGACGGTGGCGAGCAGGATGGTCTCGGGGGTCTCGATGGCTTCCAGATCCTCGACGTTGGAAGAAGGGGCAGCGGACTCGAGAGAAGACTGGATCTCATCGGCCTTGGCCTGAGCCTCGGTGACCTTCTTCTCGGCGAGTTCGATGAACTTCTTGAGAACAACCTATACCGGTGAAAGGTTAGATGCTGCGGTTGGGGGAGGGATGTAGTGTACGAAAGGGGAGAAAAAAAATCCTCCTACCTCGATCGTTCCGACGTTGGTGTTCTGGGCGATGTTCTTGTACTGGTAGAGACCATCCTTGGCGGCCTTGCCCTTGCGAAGATCAACACAGAGCTCGACGAAGAGGAGCATCACCGGCTCCAGAGAGGCGATGGGGCTGCTGCGCGTCCGCTTGGAGGTGACATGTTCGTGAAGGACGTTGAGGGCGGCGGGGGCCTGACCCACGGCGATGAGTTCCTGAGCCCTCTGCGGACAAGATACCGGTCAGCATGAATCTTTCCATCACCACATGTTTCCTTTCCCATCCCACGACATCACATTCCGACGATATATTCGAATAATATTCGGGACAAGTAACCGAACTGGCGTACCTTGAGGACATTTTCAGGCTTGATGTGAGGCGGAGGCGGCATGGTGGGCGACGATAGCGGCTGGGATAAGCGATCACAATAGGGTGGATGAAGACGACGATGCTATCCTTCGACTGGGAGAAGGTCGAAAGGGAAGAAAAGGCACGTCGGATCGCACAACGACAGGCGGGCAGCAGGGAGTCGAGGGCGTTAAGGAGGAGCCTGAAGATAGAAAGGCTGCCACGCGACGGTCGGCGAGAAAGACCCAGACAAGAGAACGTCAGGCAGTCAATCTTGTTGAGAAAGACAGACAAGGGCAACTCTCTCTTCTCTCTCTTCTCGCTCTCTGACTCTCTCGTTGTGCGAACCGCGAAAATTCCGGCCGCCGGCGTTCCCACTTTGGGTTAAGCGATGCGGGTCACGTGTTTATCCCCGTGTTTTATGGCTTGGGATTGCAGGGAATTGTCCCCATGGGAATGATTTATTGTACATCATATAGTTATTTCTTATCCATTCATTCCATTGAAGACCTACCTTTATTCTGCCATTATTTCCACCATTTTGGAAATGGCTGTTCTCATTCCTCCCTCCTCTCCCGGGTGGACTGTGTTTGGCCCGTTTGAGACGAGACGATCACTTTTTGCAGTGAAATAAGAACATGTTGTCATGAACGCGTCCAAGCTTCTGAACTATGGACTAGTGTGTCTATATGGGAAATAAAATATACGATTGACAGGGTTTGCGATAGCAAACAAGAGTGTTGCTGCTGCTGCTGCTGCTGCTGAGGCGGGAGTACTCGGTATAATTAGTAGCTTAGTAGTATGGGGATTGGGGAGGGAAGAGGAGAGAGGGCAACAGTGCTCAGGGGATGAATTGATTGGATAGGATGGGGATCAAGCAGTGATCCATCCACGTGAGGCTCATCAGCCTCCTCCAGAAGTAAAATGCTACAACAAACAATTCAATTCATGGAAACTATATCTATAATAAGAATTAGAATAGCAAAAAGAGGGCTTCTGCATGAGGGAGGGTACAACCTGACGCAAAACGGAAAAACGCCTGCTAGACAGCCTTTTTTTTTGTGCTGACTGCATCCGAGCTATCCAGTCGAACTAAATCGACTAAACTGAACTAGTTAAGTTCACCAACTTCCTCTCCTCACTCTCAGGGGGAGGGAAAGAAGAATTATGGATTCCAGTGGGAAATGAACGGATTGCCCCTGCGACTCACAGACCACCTCTTCTCTCTTCTCTCTCTCTCTCTCTCTCTCTCTCCCCGATTATACTGCTAGTTACTGCCAGTAATTCTGCTAACTAAACTCAACTAATACCAAGACTAAAGTTCCCATTTTCCCTCTCTATTTCCCTCCCTCTTTTCCCCCCCTCTTTTTTTCCCTTTTTTCCCTTTTTTCCTCCTCTGGTCCAGCAGTAGTCGTTCGCTTTCCTTTTTGCCCAGCCAAATCCTCCTGGTTCTTCCTGCTCTCCCTAAATCTATTCTTCTTCTTCCTCTTCTTCTTCTTTTTACTCCTTCGTCTGATTCTTACTCACGTTCAATATATCGTGAAGTCGAGTTCAGCCTCTCCTCCTCCTCCCCTCCCCCCTTCCATTCATTCTTTAGAAATCAATCCCTCGGAGGAACCCCCCTCTTTCTCTCTTCTTCCCCCGGTCGCTGTTCCCACTTACATTCCCTCTTCCCTCCCTCCCTCATAATCGTCTCCATCCTCCCCCCCCAAAGTTCCTCCTCCTCCTCCCACCTCTTCCTCCCTCCCTTTTCGCGTCCGCCCGCCGTTCCCGCCCGGCTTTGCTTTTCCCCTTACTTTCCTGCCGCCTCGACGCGCAAAAGAAAGAACCTTAAGCTTGAGCCGCCCGACCGATCCTGCTGAATCCACCATCTTCCATCCAACACATCACATTGCTTCCTCTCCACCTCCACCTCCAGGCACATCCACCCCCAACGTCTCTTCCACTTCCGCTGCGACTGCTGCTGCTACTGCCGCCGCCCGATCTCATCGTCGCGCTTACGTCTCCAACTAAATTCGATTAACTTCCCGGATTTCGCACGTTTCGTCCCCGCTCCAACCGTCGTCAAAATGCCTGCCTACGAGCTCCGATCGGGTGGTGATGTCAAGAACAAGAAGCAGAGTGTGGCCGATCTCAAGTACCGTCGTTTGACTGAGCTCAATGCTCGCTTGAAGGAGGACCTCGACCGGCCTCGTGTCAAGGTGTCCGAGGCTGCTCTGTCGTAAGTTTCCCCCGGCTGGCGTGCTCCGCCCCCCGTCCAGCCACCGCGTGATACTTACCCCATCGCGTTTTATCCAGGTTGATCAACTACTGCAACAACACGCGCGATTTCATGGTACCATCCGTATGGGGTCAGGTATGCGATATTCTTTCTCCACTTGCTTCGGGTTGTGCAGCAATGACAGCGGGTTACTGACGGTCGCGCAGGTCGACAAGCGTGAGGACCCATACGCCCCTCAGCAGCAGGGAGGATGCTGCACGGTCATGTAATGGTCTCATGACATTTCCACGTCTTTTGATTCGGACGGACTGAGGGTCGCCGTCAGTCCGTCGGCGCTTTTATATCCCCTCTTGCGATGACAATTACTTTTTCTCACCACTTCTTTTTTTAACTTCTCAACCCTTTCTTTTTCTTTCTATATCTAATTCTCTGTCACCATACCTTGGACCTATGGACAGCCCATCCGCCTGATTGCTCCGAATGGTGAGCATTGTCAGCGACAAAAAGAAAAAAGAGACCACGGAGAAGCGGATGCGAGGCTCTGGCCCTCGAGGGAGCGCGTTGGACCTGCATGAACTGGGAGGGACTGAGCGGTCGCACCATTGGACCAGTTCATGATCTGATTTTCACCTTGAAACGCGACACACGGCTCCCCGCGGGCTTCCAGTTACACCTTTTTTCTCTTTATTTTCTCATTTTGTGTTGGGCGTGAGAGTGTGCTCGACAGGAGTCATTTCCCTTCTAGTGATTTTATTGGACATCTTTCCTTTGTGTTAGCAGTGATATTGGAAACGGGATGGGGAAAACAAAATCGGACGCCCGGTTTGTAGTATAGATGGGCTAGTTAATATAGTTGAAGCAACTGCTCATACCTACACAGTATTTCAGATAAGCAGCGAAGTAGTGAAGAAAAAGGCAGATCACAGAATGGATCATATGCAACAACCCGGACTTCGGAGAATACTTTTTAAGATTAATTGACACCTGCACTGGTCGTACATGAGACAGTTAAGTTAATTCTATACTATACTATACTTTAGTTAACATTAGCCAAATTGTTATTTACTTAAGTAGTCAACTAGTTAACTCAGAACCCACCATCACCCACCCGCTGACATCATCCAATCACCCCCTCCAACTTAGCTACTACTAACTAACTACTCTTCACACAATCCACCTAACCTCACCACCAAAGATAACGAAATATAGAAAAGGAAGAAACGAAAAGAAAAATGACTTCCCCCCTCCCACCCCTCACGCAACCCACCACACAAACCCAAGGACCAAAAACTACCAAAAACATGCACAACCACCTCCCCCGCATCACCATCAAATACTGTACCCAATGTAAATGGTTACTGCGCGCTGCATACGTAAGTCACCCCTCCCCTAAATTTCATACACACATACCTACATACATACACATACTCCTAACATAACTAACCATGCCACACGATGATATATTTGGTATTGGAAACAGTTCGCCCAAGAACTCCTCTCCACATTCAGCACCCAACTCGGCGAAGTAGCTCTCGTTCCTGCGACGGGGGGTGTGTTTACTGTTACGATGTATCATTCTTCTTCTTCTACCTCTACCTCTACCTCTTCTACATCTACGGGTACAGCACAAGGTGAAGAGGTACCAGTAGCAGTAGCAGGTACTGGGGATGGGAATGAGGAGGAGGATATCACTGAGATTATTCTCTGGGATAGGAAGACGAATGGGGGGTTTCCTGGTATGTTATCATTCTCTTTCATCAACTTGTTTGTTTGTTAGGAGGGGTAGGGGTGGGATGCTAATCAGCTGCATATGCATATGTAGAAGTCAAAGTGTTGAAAAGCCTGGTGAGAAATGTCGTCGATCCCAGTAGGGATTTGGGACATACGGATCGGGCCTTGAGGGCTGCGAATGTGCCCGTGCAGAGTCAGGAAGGGGGTGAGATGAAGGTTGTGGGGAAGAGTGAGGAGCAGGGTTCTACTGCTGCTACTGCTACTACGAAAGAAGGTGACACGTGTGAGGAGTGTCAGTGATCATCTACTCAACAATAGAATCATCATGTAAATGCAAACAAGCATATATGCTCAAGTCCATTTAAAAGGAATAAACCCATACAAAATATCAAGTACAGTCCTGCCTGAGCCACCTCCAGAACGCCAGTCCACGCCCCGTCTCTAGTTGCCCCGTCCTGCCCGCCTCTGTATGGTGACAAATGAAAATGAAACGGTCAATGTGTAAAATGGATAATGTGAAGTGAAAGAAGAGAAAAAAAGAGCGGAAGAAGAGGATGAAAAAAAAGAAGAGTATCGAAGAAGTAAAAGTGCCATGCCAGCCAGACCAGCGCAATGTCTGGCTGAGCATCATCGTCAAAAGCTCAGATATAGCTATATCCACCGAGCCGGTCGTCAAATCATGCAATTCCATCATAAAATCCAGAGTCATCACCAGAATGTTTCCCATTCATATGTGCCCATGTAATCCCAACCCTCGTTTTGCTCACTCGCGAAAATCCAACCCGCCAGGAACACCGTGAATCATTCCAAACGAGAAAACAAGAGAAAACTGAAATCCAATCAACTTTCCGGGCCATCACGTCTCCCCGCTCAGCTCGTGCTGATGCGAGTGATGTGTGCGCCGCTTCCAGAACGCCAACCGCAGTCGGCTTCGTCGCTTCGGCAGCTTGCGCGGTGGTGCGTGCTCCTTGGACCCGTGCTCGTCCCACCGGGGCCCACGCCCATCGTTTTTCATGCTTCCAGTCGTCGTCGTCGATTGTGCCGAGCTGCTCGTTCCATTCCCCACCGGCGACGTCACCTTGGCAGCATCGTAATTGTGCGGATCGGAAGCCCGGCGAGTGCTCGGGTATGCAGCGCTGACCTGTGGGTGGTTCGATGTGGCCGGTCGCGTGTACGCCCGGTCCCATTCGCCGTCACTCCGACTGATGCTTTCGCGGGGGAAGCCCTTGTCATCGCTGTCCACGCTGAGGAAACTAGTGGCATTCGTAGACGGAGAGATCGGTGTCATGTTGTTGCTATAGGTGCTGACGCTGTGCGTGCGAGTGCAACTGTTCCGCTGTGAATTCGAGGGCCCCGATGTGCGTCCCGACGAGGCTGTATTCGCGTGCTGGCGTCGACCACTAGGCGGCCCATGTCGCGAGCTACTCGGTCTCCCTTCCACGGAGCTGTTACGAGCACTGGAGCGACCCGACGTGTCGCCGTTGCCTGCAGCAGAGCCATTGGCAAACAGGACAGCCGCCAGAACGGTGGGGTCACTCGAAGCACGAATTGCGTCGGAGCAACC